ATTTATATGTGAATTTAAACGTGGAAGTGTCAGTCAGCGCCACATGTAGCCAAGGAGCCGAGTGTGGCACACTCTTATGAGCCTGTTTGGCGTCACGTAGCATTCGTAATAAGTTCACATGCTACGTGACGCCAAACAGGCTCATAAAGAGTGTGCTGACACTCCCACACACACACACACACACACACACACACACACACACACACACACACACACACACACACACACACACACATGTATATATATATATATATATATACATATATATATATATAGCAAGCGATCTCACCGCCCTTAAAATCCAAGTTCATGATTGCTACTCGAGCGATCCTCCCACTCCGCGTTGTTTCATGCTCATTCAAGACGGGTGGTTTACTTTCTGTTTGAGCATTTGACGTCAGTTCTAACGCGCGGGAGATGTTATGCACTTTCCAGGCAATAGGGACAAGCCGACCCATTTGATCACTGCTTCAGCAGCGCTTCGCGCTTTTACTCGCTCGTGAAAGTTACGATTCGAGGGAGCATGTTATCAATTTGGACTTGTTACGGAATATGGCAGCGACGAGAAAAGCCCGCCGAGAGTGTTGAAATAATTGCTATCGCAATAACAATGCAGTTTTTTTTTTACTGTAAAATAAGTTTTTTGGGTTAGCTCTGTCCTTCGGTTCCCCCCTTTCTTTTAATTTGCGCATTTATTTTACGAATTCGGGTACCGGAACCTGCAAGTAAACAAATCCTCATTATAACAAATCTTCCGGGAATTGATCGATTTTGTTATATTTAAGTTTAACCGTACAGCGCTTGTGAGTGAAAAGCATACAATACATAATCTCTTTTAGTGCAGCCTACGAAATCTCCATGTAATGTCAATAAGCAGAGGTACCACCTCGACGTATAGAGAATTGAGCATATGTCCGGCAATAGTGACTCCAGAGCCGCAAGATTATGTTTTTTTATTTCTCTGTTAGTAATTATCATGTGATGACATCACATCTGAGGAGTTGACGCATTAAGATCAAGTTGTCATTAGAGGATGTTTTTCTTCTGGAAGTTTGAAGAAAGCGGGGATTGTTTATGCTTGACAGGACATTCCTAGGAATGACCTCAGTGCTTGCCTAAGTAAGATAAAGTGCGGTACGAAATCGCTTAGAGAGAGCTAGTCCGAATTATCTGCATTGTAGCTAGAATAGTATTAGAATACATCTAATGTGATTTTGTTTCCATGTACCTTTCCTGTATTATCATCTATCTGCTTCTATAGCTTCAGCATGTTCCACACTATGTAACCACACTTCTGACACCATGCACTGCACACTGCAATCACTGCACATTCAGTGCATCAAAGCTTCCCACCATTGGTACATACGTTCATATGTTAAGTTTTCATCGTTACAGCACGCTTGCAAAAATTTTGTGCACTGTGAACCACAACATTTCGTTCACATTTTGCATGAGAACCTGTTTAGCTTCTTTTACACACTTTTTGCACATTGTTACACTTATGGATGGCTTCCCATTTCAGCTCTGCGTTATTTGCTTAATGTACTCTTACTGCAAGTGTGCCCATCGCAAGCCATAATTCTGTCATCGTTTCATCGGCATTTGGGAACTCACTGATGAGCTGTCGTGTCACTCGAGACATGTGCTCACTTTCGGTGTGCGCGTGCAAGTTCCTGAGAATATTTGCTAACGTGCTTGCTGCAATTGCCACTGGATATATCATGCACGCTGTTCGTTATTACTGTTTGATGCAGTAAACTTACGCGAGAAAGTAAAGTATGAATCCTGCAATGTCTGATCACATGGTTTAATATTGCATTCCCGGCATCCTAACATGAGAAGTGTGAACTGATGGCTTGATACAGCTGTTTTTTATCAGTGCTAAGAGTCGTAAAAGAGACACTGTCATGGTTGTTGTATATATTTAGAGCTTGTATGTTTGGAGGCTGAAGTATCTCAGTTGCAATGTTGCACCATATTCAGCAGCATAGTGCTCCCAAACAAGAGTAATATATAATGCATATTATTGTTTTTACAAAATTGATTGCTTTCTTCTGCTGAAACATAAGCCTTTTCAAGTATAAGCATGCATTTCTGTACCACAAAGTGGCAATTGTCTCGCACTTATATCTGTATTTCCAGTTTTGCTGTGTTTACATCATGAATGACTCTAATTAGTTAAAAGTGTTTTGCACTTGTTATATTCTTTTTGAAAAATTAGTTATTATTGCTGATCATCGCCTTTTGATGTTTTAGATGAACTTAGATGTGTTGTGTATATGAGGTTGGTTGCTCAGCAGCTCCTCAAGGAGAACTTTCTAGATTATGGTATAATTACTGTGAGTTCTGGAATGCCTTTCAGCGGTAATATTTCTTACGTTATAGTGAAAACAAAGGCACTAATAATTAAGTAATTATAGCGAGCTAAGAAAATTGTCTGCCTATCTCACAAATTAGGATTGCACCAAATGTTCACTGCACAATGTAAAAGGGCCTTACAGTTCTTGCTTTTTCTAACATTTTTAAAATGTGTCACTATGAGTCACATAGGCTTGTGCGAATATTTGAACGCTTTGATTATTTGAGCAAATAATACAGCATTCAAATTTGCTTCAAATTGAATTTGAACTATTGAAAACTTTCGAAGTTTTTAAAACAAACAAATAGGCGTGTATAATCTGCATGTAACTTGCTGTAAAGGTGGTTTTACTGCAGTAAAGAGATAGTCATCTGTAAAAGCACCTATCTTAATGCATGATAAATTGTAGGCTTGAGCGAATTATGAATCTTTGCTTCGTAGTGAATACGAAGGGAAGATTAATTTTGGTCAAATAATTTCAAATCGAATTCGAATAATATATATGACATATAAGGAAAATGGGCATATTTATCATGGTCTAACTAACTTGCACAATATATTTTTTAATTGAAATAGAGCCTCTATGCAAATGCCTTTTTCTTTCATTCAAAGGAAGTCAAAACAATTTTGAGTAGTAGCAGGATTTGACTTTTGGTAAGATGCGAGTGATAATCTGTGAATTACATAACATTTTAAAATTTATTATACATATAGCTTATAAGTCATCATAGCAAGCTTTTAAGCTTAATTAATTGAGGAATTGATTTGAGGGTAATAGGTTCATATAAAGGGGCCCTGAAACACTTCTTTAACTAGTCATGGAAGTTATTCACTGAAGAAACTATTGCCTCACAAATTCACCACCACGAACATTTTTAAAATTCTTCCAGTATGAGCGGAGTTGCAACGCTTTGTTGCACTCTCTTTTCCTCCCGACAAAAGCGCTGGGGTGAAATATCACGTGGGCCTGATCACTTTTTGCACTTTTTCTCTCGTTCTTCGAACACGCGGCTTTTCAGAGCGAATGGGCATGTACATGTGGACAAGTGGCAGTCGTAGCAACGACCGAGCGTGTCGTGCTCATGGCTGATACAATGACTGTGACGATAAATTTTTGAGCTTGTGGCATTATTTGCCGAGAGAAGAGAGCAATTCTTAGCTGACTTTGAGATTTATTGTGAATAGCAGGCCACATGCTGCGCTATAACATTTGGCTCACGCTTTCTCTGTAGCCTCGACTACCAAACGGCAGCGTTTTCTGACCATAGTTCAAAAAGTGTTGCAGCGAGGCTCTTTAAATTTCGAAGGGAGCTTCTCGGCAGAGCGGATTTCTTTTGTATCAATGTTTTCATGGTTTAGCACTTTAACACTGCAGTGAAGTTGCCTTTACAGGCTGTTACATCTGGACTAATATACACCAATTCGTTCATTGCGAATACTTCAAAATTGTCAATAATTTAAATTCGAATCGGAGCAAACTCGAATACTCTACTATTCGTTCAAATATTCGGACCATGCGAATATTCTCACAAGCCTAATAATTTCCATGTAACCCCTCGTAAATAGAGTTTTGCTGCAATAAAGCAGTGCTATGCCATGAAAACACGTATGAACATTATGGGCAGTATGGAAGACATGTAGGGGACAGTAGCACTGCTGCAAAGCCCCACTTCTATGTAAAATGAAGACATTATCCTCACTATAATTCATTTATTAGGTTTAAAAGCTTGGCATATTTATTTTTGTGCTCTAAGTATAGCAAATTTTAAAAGGTAACATAATTTATGGATTATCATTTTCATTCTACCGGAAATCAGATCCTATGAATTTTCAAGATTGTTTCCATGTCCCAAGTGAAGCGAAAATTGGCATTTGCACAGGCCTTGTTTGAAATGAAAAAAATTGTGCAGGTTAGTTAGGTCATGACAAATGCGCCCATTTTTTATAATACGAGATATATACGCTATTAAAATTCGATTCGAAATTATACTACCAAAATTACCATTCGCTTCAAATTTGCTTGGAACCTGAAATTTACTATTCGCACAAGCCTAGTCATTAATATTGACATCTTGCCAAAAAAGATTTAGAGCCTAAATAAATGTGAGTAGCAGTGCTGCCCGAAGTGAGGTAATATTAAAAGTACACTTGGTAGAACGAACAGTTGAGGTGATTGCACAAATACTTTTTTTTTACCTGGGATATCTGACCTTCACTACATCGCCATGATTCTATGAAATTAATACGACTGCTGACACTACAGGCACATTAGACTAGGCAAACCACCACGAAGGTTATGCCCCACTATCTTTCATCTAACCAAGGCTTCCTCTTGGTTGTATGTGGAAGCAAAAGTTATTGAACCGAAAGTTTTATGAAGTAAAGGATCCTAAGAAATGATTAACTGTGCCAAAAATTGATATATGATAGGTAAAAACAATAATTCACTGCATTGAAAAATGCTTTGAGGCCTTTTTTATCGCATGGTGAACTGATGTCTGTAGCTTACGTTCTACTCCCCAGTGGTGCTTTGTGTTTCAGTTCATGTCACAAATGTTTGAGAGTGTGTGCTAAGCAAGGTGGCTGACTAGATAAGTTCACAGCCAAGAGAAAGCTACCTCGGTTGTGTTCGTCTTTTCAGATGACGTTCGGCTGCCAGAATATGATGTGCAGAAGCACCCCTTCAAAGGTACAGGCTCGCGAAAGCAGCCACCTTTGTGAGGCCCTTTTTTGCCCCCCCTTATCAATTTTACTACAATTTTGAAGCTTTTGAGATGCATGCGATCAATCATTTTTTGTCCTGTGCCAACCCTACCTTATATATCCAAGAGCCAGGATATTTTTATCCCATGGCCCTGTTACACTTTTTGGGGAAATGAGGATTTTTGTTGGTTGGACGATTGAAATTTTCCTGTGAGATTTGTCTCCTGTTTACTGAAACCATCTAGCCCTGCATCGTAACAACACTGGTGCCCTGCAAACATTTACTTGACCTAACGGCATGATGGTCATAACCCTGCATGTTATCACTAAAAGAAAGCATCTTGTGACGTTTAACGAGACCCCAGTCACCTTATCTTAATGGTATAAGGTTGGTATAGTAAATTTGGGTGCAACTTCGGTGCAGAATGCTTTGAATGATTATGCCGAGCAATAGCATTATGGGAGATGTTCTATTGCACACTTACCTCAATTATGCTAAATAACAGACGAGCGATATTAGCATTCTCTAATGTTAATTTTCTTGATTACCTCAAAGCGTACACCTCTCTTGACACAATTGTTGGCCACGTATGTGAAGTATATGTACGCACGGGTTAAGCATGCTGTGAATGGTTGGCAGGCAACAGCTAGGACAGGCGACAGTGCTGAGGACAAATATGTCAGTGGCCTTGGGATAAGCCGTAGTCATCATTCTCTCCACAAACTACGTTCGATGTGCGCAGTAAAAAGTGGAGGGCCGCTACAAATATTTCATCTATTAGTCAGCTGCATTATATTAAATTCTCAGCCATTGAACACAGTTTGAGTCGATATTGCTCACATTCAGGTGTGGTATTACTTAACAAAACTGTTGAGTTTATGTGTCTGCTACCTTTGAACTTTTCTGAAGCATTAGCAATATTGTCTGCAGTAGTCTGAGAGCATATCTCACGCTTCATACACTGGGCATTCAGATACATCAAACATAGGGCTCGGTGACGTTTCATTTTTGATTAGCAGTTTTAATGCTTACTAAAAACTGTTTTCACATTCGTGGAGCATTTCTGCTGTAAGTTGTGTGGCAGAAGCACTCCTTGAAGACATAATTGCTTCATTGTATGAATTCGTTGTACTCTTCTTCTTTTGCTGTTATTATAGCCGCAATGCTTTATATGTGTTTATTGTAACCCTTTTTTTGTATTCATTGTACCCACTCCTGCCTAAGGTCTGAAGATCAGACTGGCAGTACTGTAATAAATAACTATATAAATAAGTAAATAACTAGTACAACAGGACAAAAAATTGGCCGCATTTGGTCATTAAACAGTATTAGGTCTCACCCACTGCAAAACTAAGTGAGGCACTTAGGTAAAGAGAGGTTTTCAAACACTGCAGCTGTTTTAAACAGCTAGACATATGATTTCTAAAACAAATTTGGCAGAGAAATATCCTCACGAGGTTGTGTGTTTATTACAGAGACTGCTTTTAGTAATTATGTATACCGTATATTTCGGTACCCAATGAAATTAAAAGGAAAGTAGTGATACTGATTTCAGATTAGAGCCAGAAAACAACATCCTGTACATTTTCATAGCTCGCTCATCTCTAACATTGTCCAAATGGGCTATTTTCCAAAGCCAAGTTATGAATGCACATGATGCCACCATTGACTGATACGCAAAGATACATTGTTGTCACCAGGGGAGATATAATCAGATAGTTTTTTCTGGGCTGCGGACCTGTCATGTTGTGCCATTTACCAAAATATACATGTGCCTCTAATGCGATGGAACTTGAGTGTTTTTGGGCTATTATATATTATTTTTGCTGCCAGAATACATTCCGTTCCTCTCAGCGAAAAAAAAAAAGGACTCCATTATTGTTAATAATTTAGTATGTGACAAGAGCTTGTTTTCTCTGTACGAGGGAAATGATCAATGAAGTTAGGCATGAGCAATCCTACTTAATGTTAGCTTCGTTATATGTGCCCATCCTCATTATACCTGTAGTTTTTCGCACTTTCTTATTGCCTTTTTTATTATCTGTCAGTTTAATAAGCTGCTTGTATGCTCTGCATCAGGCATGTGGGTATTGAAATGAAAATAATGCAGGATCACAATGCTTGAAAGGTGAAAACATATGCAAGAATCTCTTCAGCTATTACTTTTCGTTTTGCTGCCCAGTGGAAGAGACATTAGTGACAATCGTACAATGTAACTCTGTATGGCTGAAATATTGCCTTTTCGGAAATCTTTTTACCTTATTCAAGACCTTTGTCTGCATCATGATGTTCTAAATTTAGCCTCGATTCTTACACTTTTTGCTGCAGTGATTTAGAATAACGGGACATTAGGGAGTAGTGTTAATTTTGATTGGTAGGTGACAGTTTTGCCACACCTAGCAGGCCAAGTAAGCTGTTTTGGGTATGTAGGCATTGCACGAAAAAAAGATAAAACAGAACACAGAGTTGGCAACCCGACAGAATAAACCACTGAGAAGTTTGTAGTGTTAAATATTGAGCTAGTTGGTTCCTGTTTACTCGAGAGAAAAACAGTGCAAAAGTTTGACATTGATAAGAACAGACAAGAACACACTGTGCTTGTTCAATCCTGCTCTTTGTATTGTGTTAAAAATTTGCACTGTTTTTTTCTATTGCAATCATGCAAGCTTTATGAAATATGATGACCTTTGACTTTGCCTCTTCCGAGTTAAGGCTAGCAGAGAAGCCTGTAAATGCTCATCAGCATGAGAGCAACGAAAATGTGCAACTGCGGTATAACATACTTCAATTTGCATTGAAGGTACAACTTCCAAGATATTAGATGAAGAAATGGCTTAGATTTCATTCTCTACTCTAATTAGCATTCTTGAACAAAGGAATTCTTTAATAAGATGGTTTTGAACTACCGATAAGAAACTTTTGAAGGAATGCATTACACACATCTGAAGCCTTTGAACATAGATCCCTTTAGTGTCCCATATAGCAGTCCGGGGTCCGGGCTCACCCGACGTTCTTCTTCCTTCCTTCTGCCCGCATTCTCTTTCTAGAGGAGAAGTCAGTGTCATTCTCAGACGAGACCCTGGATTGCCACAAACAAAGGCAGCACTCGCCACAACCAGCAGGTGATTGTCCCTCTGCCCTCTTCGCCTGGCCACTGCTGTAATGCTCAGGCCATCTATACGCGCGTGCGCTCATGCTGAATGTATACGCTGCCAAAGTATGCCGGTGCTGAAGCGTGTAGTAGTGGTCCATCAAAACTGCCCTGATTATTTCTACGATTTGGCAGATAGGGTGTGCCTGGCTTTCTTCTCATTTCAGTGTATGTTTTGATGGCTGTAGTTCTGTTTTAATTATCCTGCTGTGACAGTCATGGGCTGTCCTTTGTAGCACATTTGTTTTCTGCATTCCCTTTCTTTGCTAAAGGCATGGTAACAAAGCCAGGTTGAAACAGTGCATTCTCTTTTGGCGATTTTCCATGTATATACTAATGAAATACGTGAGAACTACTGCTTTTTTGTTATTTCTGTAGTTTCTGAGTAAGTACAGTGCACTGCACTTAGGCTAGCTCTGATGACCCGTGAGTTTCACCTATCACCAATATAATTTACAAAGGCATATTAAGCATTCAAAATACCATGAAAAAGTAACTGATGAAACAACTTTTTCAGGATGTTCTTATCTGCATATGTGAAACCAGTTTATGTAAACACAGATAATTAGGACTATGCGATTTCCCTTGGATGCAGGATATTTCTTTCCTTCACAAGGAACATTTCTCGAAGGTACTGTTCAAAAAGAGTTCAGACAGTTCTTGCACATAAATTTCATGGTGCTGTTATCTTCAAATTTCATGACTGACGGTGACCACAAGTGTAAATACAAAGTTGTTTAAGTAAATGGGACTGTATGTTATTTTGATAATTGTTTTCGAATAAGGTGATATACCATGATGACTGAGTTGAGCGTGTTTGCAGGCCACAAGGTTTATATGTTGACATATGGAAAATGTGTTCGTGGTACCTTATGCATGCAAGAACACAGGATCAGTATGATCTTCGTGTTTGTTATGGGTTCTTGTGTTGAGTGTGTCTAACAACATTTACGTGTTTTTACATCTTAACTGGAAGAACTGTTTTGATATGGTTATAGTGGCTGTTAATATTAGAGCTGTGCGAATAACGGAATTCTAGGTGCGAAGCAAATTTGAATATTGAAGTGTGAGTTCGAGTTAAATCGAATGTTTTGCTAATATTTCTCGAAGCTTCGAGCCGCAATTGAATCCAATCTGGGCACAGACACTACTAACTTGGGCATGATTTATGGCTGCCACCTACCACCTGGTTGTGCATCCTGCGCTCTCAGCCACGGCTTTAGTAGTTGTGTAAAGGTTTCAGGGCATTGTGTATGTTTGTGATTCCTAGACTCAATAGTGCTACAGAGAAAAAATTTCCTCTCTAAATGGTGAACCTCAAGCATCCTTCAAGCTCTTTGACGTATATTGTTTGAAATCACTGCTCACTTTAAGTGCAACTATTCTTTCATTTTGATGCATGTTGAATAGCTCTTCACGTGAAGGGCATGCTTATTGGTTGCTCGCAAAAGCATGGCACAGTTTAGCACTACCATGTGTGTTTGCTCTAGGGATGCGTGCATGTGTGTCCTCAAACAAGTGATCATATGCACAACTACAGTAGACTCTCAGTAAACGGAACCTGAAGGGACTGGGCAAATATGTTTTATTTAACAGGAGTTCCGTTTACTGAGAGATGAACATGGGTTCAGAATACAAGCCTGAAACCAAGTATTACAGAGACAATAGTTACGTTTAAGCAGTATATTTCTGTTTAACCTATTTTCGTTTACTGAGAGTCTACTGTATTTTCCAAGCCAATGGTGATGGAGCTCTTATTTCTCATAGAAAGTATTCGCTTGTGTGATAGCCATTATTTTTTCCTAGAACACTTTGCAATGTGACTGACGCAAAATTTATGCATCAACAAAATGCGTGATTGTTACGGCAGAGCACGCAATAGCTTTAATACTTCTAAATGGGTAATCGACGCTCAGTGCACCATTTCGTTTCTTTTAATGTCCGTGGTATTATAGCCCAAAAGTGAAGTTTAATTAATCGCACCAACTTGGTCAAAAACAAATGTTATTTTTACGCTTCTACGACAGTGTGCCCCAATAAACTGTGTAGGGCGTAACGCTGTGTCTGACGTCGCCTGTTGGACACATAAACCGAGAGCAAAGGTCAATGACGGCCATGTGAATTGTGGCTTTTTCAATACTTATCTTATTATCCCATGATATCCAACTTAGTCGCTGCGAATAAGGTTGCTGCCCATACTGTCACATGCAGTTGATGAGCCAATTTTGTCAAGTTAAGAGGGCCGCGTGCTGCCGCTTTTATCGACGCTTACACTTCCTCCGATGCTGGACAAAACAGTGCTAGCTGGTTTGCTGGCGAGGACATAGTGGGTACGGTGACCATAGTACATTGCTCTTCTACGAGGTGGCCAACAAAGCTCGTGAAAACAAAAAACAAAAACCCCTCATTCACATAAGGAGCCTTTGTGGGAAGCATGTAATGCATATATTAACACCTTTAGGCATTCGCAATGATTGGGGGTGCAATCACTGAGATTACGTGCATTTTGACTAATCAGCATGGTGGTCAAGAAGCAGAGATCGGGCCAGCATTTATAGCGGTGCTTTGTTCTAATTCATTCTAATCATGCAAATTTTGTGGCTGGCTGATCTCATTTATAGTGTGGGCAGACCGTCACTTTCACCCCTCGTCAATGTGACAAGCACGAAAGGGTACTGGCGTCAGAATAGAAATAAGAACCAGCCTGGGTGGGCGGGTGTACTAGATAGGACTGACACCAGTGACCAGCTGCTCACGTGCAGGCGAAATAATGTCATCTTGCATGTAGGCAGATAGCTCATATAGCTCCCTAGTTTATTAGCACAATACAACCTAAAAATATTAGCTGGCGCAACCTTGCAACTGCTCTTAAGTTAGCGACCTGTCGTCCACTGTGTCGTCGCACGACATACGAAAACTCTCTCCACCTTAATGCATTTTCGTCCATGGGTGTTCCCGGCCGTTTACTTCATTTTTGCACTTGAAAATAACTTGCATAGTAATAATAAGGCACCTCTACTTTGGCATGCACACTCTACAAAAGAAAATAATGTTCTTTAGAGGAGAATGTTTTTTTTCAGGCAAGCCCAATTTTGGATATTTTTGCACTCCTGACGAGCCAAATGAGTGTATATTTAATATAATGCGTGACTACAATAAATGTACACATCTAATTATTGCTTACTGTGCAGGCGCACGCCAACTACTCAGAGCATATTCAATGACTGACTATTTCACCTTAGCATAGAAAACGCAACATTTTGAATTAGCATTTTACCAATTTTCAGGCATAATCTACTTGACTACACACAGGCCAGCACTTATCCTTTAAAGCACTAAAAAATATTAGGCAGCTCATCATTGCCTTTTGATTATGCTTTCCAGTGTGATATTTCTGTGCACTTTCCTTGGCATAGAAAACAATGGAGACTGATACAGTGCCCTTCCTAATTTGTCAATATGCAATGCAACGTAGCAACAAAACTAAAATGACATTGTAATTAAGTTTACCATACTGAAAGAAGAAGTAATATTCTGTTTCACATTAGTGCAATCCTTTTATTTTGCATGCCTAATGTAAAAATTGATTGATTGAAACGTCCTCTGTTATGATACATTCTCGTATTATGTTATGTTATATGCTTTAAAGCAGAGCTATCAGTAAACTTGGAATAAAGAAAAGGATATCATTTTGAGCAGTACATGTATACTTTGAAATTAATAGGAGCGCATATATTCATTCGTATATTTACTGAACATGCAGGTGTGACTCCGCTCAATACGATCAAATTGCTTATTGTACTGCTACAGTTTTCTTACGAACTATTGTAAGTAGAATGCTTTCTTTTTACATCTAATTCCAATTTATTGAAAGGGAAGAAACAGTACAGACTAGGTGCTTCAATTCGCTCTGTTTTTCCTCACAGCAATCTAGCTCTAGCTCTTTTCTTAATTGGTAGCCCCTGCACCAGCATGCTTGCAATGTTGTTTATTTATTTAATTTTTTGCCAAGACACTGAACATATGGTAGTTAAAGTTTGAAAAAGTAGAATTTCAGGCCAGTTGGTGATAAGGAATGAGTTAAATGAAGTGTAAAAAAACAAGAAAATCACCGTGACACAGACGGACAAATGCTTGTCCCATCTGTCTCCCTTTTCTGTGCTTTACATTATAACATAGCAAGTGTTGGGTTTTTAATCTTTTACAGCTGTTCTTTAAAAACACATCATTTAAACCTGCTTACTGCATATTGTTTACTCATCATACAGAGCCATTTTCAGTATAACACAGATCTGTGAAGATAAGCATTTTTTATTTTCCAACTAATGCATTGCGATAGTGACAGTCTACAAGTTCACTATAACTAAAATATAATACTATCAGGGGTTCAACCTTTCAAAACCACAATAGGGCCATCATGGCTACGATGCCTCTATAACTGAACAGGACTACGTGTTGTGTATCACATTCTCATATCTAATTTTATTCTGCAGTAAGGTCAACCTATATACGGAATATGATGGTTATAGGGTATGAGAAGCTGGCGTAAATGTGCTACATCAGGTGAACTTTTTCTGCTGGGCATAGAACCATGTCTATATGGTTAAAGCCTTGTTCTTTTCTGAGGTACTTAAAGAAACTTTTTTTCCATGTCTTGGGCTTGCCAAGTATTTTTGATCCTTTTCAGCCTTCCACGGACTCGTGCAGAAGGTGATGGACTTGAAATACGTATCCTGAAGCAACGTATATCTTCCTGTTTAGTGAAGAACACTACTCTCGCACAGTTTTGAAGATTAGATTGCCTATATATGTATAAAAATTGTTCTCAAATAGGCATATGCATAAATGGACTAAATACGAGATTGCAAATTATGGCCTTAGTTATATTTCTACAGTGTGGGCCCACCTATTGATACACATGGAGCGAGGTCTTGGAACTATACAGTGGTTCGTCACGAACTGTAAGGAACTAGCTGCCACACGGGCGTTTTTGAAGGCCATCGAGTTAATAGTCTATCGAGTCAACAGAGCACCCCACAACGTCATTGAAACTTCAATGGCCATTAAGCACTGCAAGCAGAAACGGTGTGAAGAACATGTTCTCTCTTTCACAGTGTACTTTGTGTACTTGCACACACGATTAGAAACATGATTACAAAAAATGAATCTAACCAGTATGCTTTCAAAGCAGCATACGTGAGGGTTGTGAATGTGCGAACTGCACATGCTCGCTACAACAGCCATGTGCTTGTCTTCAGTGTGCTGTCTCGCCGTGCATCATTTGCCATAGTTTCACAGCTTAATAACTTATATAGCTGAACATGCTTGATAAAACAGATAAACAATTTATTAAAGTATTAAAGTAATATTAACAGACATATTTGAGTTTTTGAATGAATTCATATCATTTTACTTGAGGCAACATGAATTCGAAAAAAGTGCCGCCATATCCACGAAGTGAATGATGATGAGTGGGCGAAGCTCCGGAGGTAAACCTGGTAAACCATGAATCCTCTGTACATTTTGCCCACTCGATTTTATTACATCGCTCCCCCTAGCGTACGTCGCCGCACTAAATCGAACGATTGCCTTCAACCAATGACACGCGCCATATGTGACATCATTCCTATTTTATAAGATCTCGCGTCTTTCATCAACTACAAGTACCGCTTTCTAGTTTATAACATCTTGCATCTTTTCATCATCAGCTACAAGTACCACCATCTAGTAAACACTACAAGAACTAAACGAGAGGTGGCTACATACAGGAGACGGTACCGCCATCTAGTGAACACTGCAAGAACTAAACTAGAGGTGGCTACATACAGGGGACGGTACCGCCATCTAGTGAACACTGCAAGAACTAAACTAGAGGTGGCTACATACAGGGGACGCACAGCCCACGCCCTAAGGAGCTTCGCCCCTAAAAGAAGGATCCACAGCGCCACACAGTATTTGCAGTGAATGCTTGAACCGCTCAACAGCCGTTCAAAACTTCCATGTAGCAGTGCGACAACTCCATTGAGTTGATAGAGTTGTGGCGTTTTGATGGCCATCGACTGGACGCCCGTCAAAATGGTTCCTGTAACAAAGGTGTAAAAAACTCGCAGGTTCCATGTGAATTCACCTAAGACAATTCGAAGGTAAAGGCCATCATCTTCTCTGTCGATGTATTACAAGAGAGCAGGGACCGCGAGCCACGATTTCACAGGGCCACTGCCAAGTGCTGTCTTCATTTTCTTTTGTTTTTCTTTGTTGAGGTCAAGCACTGTTCGGTTTTCTTCGCCGACCAATGGGGGACTCTACAACAGCATCGTGTGACATGGCATCACAAGACGTCAGATTGAAATTTGGGACATGTTAATGACTTCGTATAATCACGTCATCATGTGATGATGTTTTTTTGCATCACTTGTCGCTCATGCTGTAGGTGCTGTTGCCGCTGATAGTCAAATTCCCCATTAGCGTTTCAGGCTTACATTTTAAGTACTTGAGCTTCTGCACATCTATCTTATATTATTTATATCAATAACCTATTACTGTATTTGAGTTGAGAAAGCTGGGGTTTTGATTTGTGGTTTTTTTTTTAGTGTTATATCTGTTGCTACATTTACTAAACTCCTATTAGAGAAAATCTAATGTTGCTACCAGATTTACAAATTAATATTTGCTTGACGTGCCTCAAAACATGCTTCTACATGACAAAAGCGACTAACCATTGGATTAATGGATGAACTTTGCTTTAGCACATTGCGGGCCGCTCCCTCGTCGGAACATCAAGATCAAGTCTCTCTGCTGCGGCGCGGGCCGGTTGGACTGCATGGGCCATGTAAATTCGACATCTATGACGAATTACTCTCTTACAAAAATTTTACTTTGTAGCTTATAATTTTACAGCATTTTTGTGCCATTTCGTTTTTGCCCCAGAACATAATTTTCTTCTACACTCTAATGTTCTTTCTTTCTTTGACTGTCACAACACTTAATCATAAGGCATCCTAATATATACAGTGTCAAAAATTTTCATAACTTGTTGGTTCGCAATGGAGCTAGAAGGAGTCAATATCTGGCAAAACAATATCTAGTGGCTCACTGCAGCACAAAAAACACACAATGAATGAAGTATAAGTGACAACAATGAGCACTGAACTTGCAACAACCAGTACCGGAAAATTTCTCGTATATTTATGCTGTCAGACACAGACGTCGTCTACTAAACATGCGTGGCTGATGCATGCGTAGGGGATGAACACTCGTATGAACACTCGGCACTTGTGGGTTTGCCTGATGACATTGTAAATTGCATACGCGATACGATGTGTTCATGAACTTTACATCTTGTTCACTGTGATGCTCAAAGAGGTGCCAGGCAGCGTGAGGATCGGTGTCAGAGCATGCAGTGGTTATCGTACTTCGTGTGGCAAATCATTTTTTTCCTTGTAAGCGCTGTACTGCATGCTGAATGCAGGGGATTCGGCATGTGCTATGCCTGGCATGTAAAATATGCCACAATTTATGCTTATTGACATTTTATTGACTGCCTTTCTTATTTTTCTAGCAGAGAAACCGACAAAGCCTGCAATCAAGGGCATGCGATCACACTCTATAGCAGGTGAGGGTACAACATTCCATTGAAGCTGAAGCATAGTAAATAATGTTGCAGTTCAGTTCATCTTCATCTTTATCACAATCAATTTGTAAAAAAGTACTTCAGAATGCAGTATGAGAATTATAATGTAGAATTCATTATACAAAAAAAGACATGTTCTTTATATGAAACCAACCAGTGTGTTTTGCCACGCAAAGCTTCAATAAACTAATAAGATATGTTACTCCTGAACAATGAGAGCTTTAATATGACGAGTGGTTTTGAAGCACTAGATGGACAAAATGTGTAACCAGCTAAACTGTGCATGTTACTTTCTAAATTTATTAGTAGTAGCTTCTACAATATTGGAACATTATGGCTAAAGCAGCCCAAGTCATGAGAATGAAGCACAGGTTTTGATATTGGCAGTGTTTTTTGAAGTTAATGTGCAAGTTTTGGCCTTCCTGTCATGTAAATTTTTATACATCTGTACTATTAGATTCCGTAATGTAGTACAATTGCATTCCACAAATGACACCTCTCTTCAATAGCACTCTGGGACAATTGTTAGTCACTTCTATAATAGCACAACCTATCATAACCTTAGAGCTTATAAAAACGCATTTCTGATGACTTGCTGCCACCTTACAAGCATCGAAGGTGTAGTATTGAACGACCAGTTAGAAATGACGCACATGAACTTTGTGACCATCTGTCCCAGTGGACATATTAAATTAAACTTGCTCTTGCAGTTTAAGCTTATAGGTTATTAGCTAATGATGTAACATTTCAAATATTGTATGTTATGTGACTACATATTCCTTACATTCACATCAGGACACACAAAAAATGTTACTTCATTCTCTAAAAAAATAGAGAAAGTGTGTCATGTTTTTAGGATTCATTTGAAGATCAAAGGTCATTAAAACTTGCTTCTATTATTCTGCTTTTATTTGAAGTCAATTTTTCTTGACACACCCAAATCCTCATTTACTTTATCTATGATTTCCTACGCACTAAATCTCACTGCGGCCTTTTTCTGTCTTTGGCATGCCTAGATGACTACTCTGGAGTGACGTCTGCAATTCCAGGTAAATTTCATCTTTATAATGCAGCTTCTGTACGTTTGCCAGTTCAATTTTGTTTTTAAGTTCAAAATATTAGTGATAGGATTGGATATAGATAGTTTTTCGAAGCTACACAGCAAGGGTCTCTATAAGATCCTGTCATGATGCAGTGTTTATTATGTTTGTCAGAGAAATTCAATCACTAGTGTGTACTTAATGCATTGAACACACTCTGTAATTGATGTTGAGCGTTGTAGAGAAATTCAAGTAATTACAAATCAAGGTAATGAAAAGCTTGTAAATCATGCAAATCATCAAGCTTCATTAAGAAAGAATTAGGCCAGCTTCACGCCGGTGGTGTGCAATGAAACAAGAAGAGTTAGGTGGCTTTCTGTAGCATACTAGCAAAGCTCAGACTAAAGATAACCACTTAAGCTTAGATATAGCCACATGACCTTAGCGAGGGCCAGTCAGGACTTGAAAAGCCTAGTTCAGCCTCTGTCTTTCTTTCTTTCTGTCCATATCTCTGTTCCTCTCTCTTTATTTTTTATTCCTATTTATGCCTCTATATGTGTTTCTCTTTACTCACCCTTTATATTTTACTCTTATTCTCTCGCTCAAAGCAACACAATCATATGCTTCACATAAGTACTTGTTCTGCTACCGGGCCTGTATAACCACGTAGTAGCGACACTTGCCTTCCAACCATTGCTACTTAGGTTCAAATCGCGCCTTGCCCAAGGAATTTTCTTTCATTTTCATTTTTTCTGCTGTTAACTTCTTTGCCTCCAAACCCCTCTTTCTTCTTATCCACTTCACCCAGCACACTTTTCATTCAACGCATTCCTCGTGCCTCCTTCTCGGCTGCTTGTCTCAGCATTCCTATTTTTAATAGGTTTTACTCTCTCTTTCTACATTGTCTTCACTTTCCCTCACAGCTTCTTTATTCAGTGGACAGGTTTGCCAAATTGTTGTGGTGCACATACATTCGAGCTTCAACAGATTAGAAGAGCATGTTGTGAAGCATAATTAAGCAGCTGCTTTGTTCAAAACGGTCTTGAATTCAAGGTAATTTTTATGAAATATTAATAATGGTAATCAATAAAAATATGGTGCTGCTTAAATGAATAACCACGGTATATGTTTAACCAGATTGCAATACTACATGTGCTACACTATTTTCCATAGTTTTTCATCACTTCCATAACTTACGCTTACACACATGATCAGTCAACACCACTCGAAGTTTGGACGTCTCGCTGGCACTGATATGGTTGATAGATTTAAAGATCATTGTTCTGCTCACTTCAGTGTCAGTAGCCATTCTCAATACTAGCACATGAAGGTGAAGATATAAGTTATCTCATTTCCACAACCTTTAAGATAGTGGTACCTTCAGTTATCTAGCTTGTCAAGCGTGCCTCGACAATTTGACTGTGAATATTAAACTTGGCATGTTCAGTACTGTTAATTCATGATCTGATGAACCTTGTTAGAAGGTAGTATTACATATTACAAAACAAATGTACAACTGGGCTCAGTAATATAAGCTTGTAGAAAATGCATCATTTTCGAAAAATTGCAACAAGACCAACTGACTAAGTTTGACAGCAGCATATATAGCCCTGCCACAGTGGTCTACAGACTAAGGTACTCGGCTGCTGACCCGCAGGTTGCAAGATCGAATCCCGGCTGCAGCAGATGCATTTCCGATGGAGGCGGAAATGTTGTAGGCCCGTGTGCTCAGATTTGGGTGCACGTCAAAGAACCCCAGGTGGTCGAAATTTCCGGAGCCCTCCACTACAGCGTTTCACATAATCATATGATGGTTTTGGGATGTTAAACCCCACATATCAATCAAATCAATTGACAGCAGCATATTCGAATGTTATACAATGTTAGGCTAGTAGCAAACTTCTCTAGCATTCGGTCGGATGTAACTTTACTAAGTGCTGGCGTACGGTAACGAAGCCACTCCAATGAGCGGAGCGGTTGTCGTGCTGTCAATCGCTTCAGCATGAAGTAAGCGGTGAGAAGTAAGCAGTGGTATACAAGGCATCTGCTGGTCTCTGCAGCAAGAGCGCATGCAGCAGCACAACTGCTGTCCAAGTGGTGAATCCCGCCCCCATCAGCACACGCTCACATTTCGTTGCCTGACAAAGCTGGCCAGTGCATTTCATCTTGACTTAAGCCGCACCTGTTGTACATGCAGCCTTCATTAGCTTTCTCACACGCATTGAATATACGATGCGCGGGGCCATGTCATCAATTGGAACTTAAAATGGAACAAAATGGTAATGCTCACGAGATAGAAGGCTCCTTGAGTGTTCATATAATTGCTATTTCGATACTACGGAGTAAAGAGAGTTGCCACTGGCTGAGATGTAACTTTGTTTTAATGTGGCGTTACCATCTGTAAAAAGTTTTAATTAGGAACTGAGTTCATTAGTAAATTAGATAGTACTGTCAACTGTACCAGATTTTCTACAAAGTACTGCTGGTGCAGATTCTATATATACATAAAAGTCGGCTGTTTTGTTCTTGTTCACAGCTTGTTCACCTAGAATAAATTGACACTAATAACTGATTAACACATTGGCACGAAGTGGTAAAACAGTGTATATTCCTTATCAATTAAAAACTGTGAAGAAAAAGGCTGGAATTTGTACAACTTGAACATGACGGTGGAACACTCAATAATTTTTTTCTTAAGGACACCTATAAACATATCCTCACATCTGTAACAGCTTACACTCCAGTCTCTCAGTTCTAACATCTTTTGTTGGTAGAAAAAGCCATTTATACACATATGATAGGCTACTGTTTACAGAATCTGCATAGCAAACCTGTACTCTGTTTTAGGGGTACATGCAATAAGCAACTCTGGTTATATAAGCAGGCAATGTACTGTACACATACGAAGTGCCACACTGGGAGACAGTCCTGAATTATTATATTTCTTAAACTATATTTTTATTCATTATTGAACATGACCATGCATAAAGTGGCTCACATAAGTGTGATTAAAACTACACATTAGTAATGACTCACTGTACTTTACCATTGACAGTAACATTCCCATCTTTATAGGTTCTATTTCGCAAACTGTTTTTATAAATAAATTATGTAAATAAATTTCCAGCTTCTTTCTTGTAGAGCTAGGTATACCATCAGAAACAAGCTCGCATGCAGTGTGCAACTTCATCTTAGGGTAGAACTGACGCAGGGCCCAAGATGTGAAACGGGCATTTCGCATTAAAGTTCTGAATTTTCATGCTAGTTAAACACTCCAAATGTGAAATTAGGCAGCATGCAGCGTTTTTAAATTTTAACAAGAATGATATCCTTTTTGTAACATTCAAGTGCAAGGTAGTAAGGTTAGTGATGAGTTAAGCAATGGCTTAAGAAACAAAAGTGTCCAAATAAATTATTGATCTGTCGATGGTGTAAGCAGTGCGATATGTTGTGTTTAGCACAACATATCGCAGCCTGCTACACTGAAGCTTGTATTCGCTCACTGGACCTTGCTTGTTCTCCCTCCAGACAAGGATGGTCGGCCTTCAAAACCAGCTCCACCACCCAAGCCGGCCTCTCTGAGTTGTGGCCTTGAGTCACGGCAGCATTCTTCATCTCCGGGAAAAGGCATGTGTTTTGGATTTGCACAAGCTTCCATTGTGTGTACACAGTTTATTTTTGCATGCAACCTCATTACTCATTTTATTGCAGACCCAGCTCCTGGATTGCCAACTATCTATTCCGATGCACCTCATCAATGCACAGTGCTTTCCATCTAATTTAAAAGCTGCTTTACTTAATTTACTGGTGTAACTAGAATGTGCAAGAATGGAAACTAACTGGTCCTTGACAGCAATCAAATGCCATATTTACTCGCATAATTTGCGCACTTTCTGTCGTGGTTTTGGGGTGGGGGTGCACAAAAGACACGGGGATTTTCTGAGCACATACGAAACGCGTCACAGTCCAAACACACATCGTATACGTGTAAAAAAAAAGAAAATAAGCTGAAGAGCAAACAAAGTGTACTTGTTAACTCAAAAGAATTAGCATGTACTATAACTAGTCAGATCTAGTCACGCATGGTCTGGTGGGCATCACTGATCGCAAAGTCCAATTAGGAGTTATCATCATGGCCACTGCCAGTGCGTCGCGGCCCTCCCAATGCGCACCTCCTCGGTTATGTCAAGCGTGTTCGAAAGGCCTATTTTCTTGGAGCTCTTCTCAACAATGCTGGGAGAAACTAGGTCCCACGACACGGCGATGCTGGAAGATCTATGCATCGACACATAACTGAAAAGGCCTTCTTCAATGGCAGGAATTTTGCATTAGCAAGCGCGCTGTCTTCTGCTTTCCCATGAACCGATCGCACCGATCGTACGTCACCTTGAAGTGCTTTGCGGCGGCTCAGTTCCAGTATTCTTCGGCAAAATTTACAAAAGTGAGCTACAATTTCATCATATATATGATTACTGTAGCACATCGCAAGGGAACCGTAAAAACGCATCGGCTGGAAGCGTGCATTGCAGCGCAGGCGCAGAAAATGAGATGAACGGTTTGCACGTGACAGGCCCTTGCACACCTCTGAGCCTCTGATGCAGAAAGTTGTCCGTGCTGTGGCCCGAGAGCATGCATTCTCAAGTTCGTTCTCCCGGTGGTCGAAATGAAAAGATAGAAGTAGGCAAATGCTCGAGCAGTTCCAGTCACCTGTCAAGATGTTTGAGTGTTCGCATACGGTATTCTGAAGACCCTAGTTTGGGAGAAGCCCTTGTAAGAAGGGACAAACCTTGTCTGGCAGCTTATCTGCTCGGCGAGGCGTGCGCCCTGTCCGAAGCATCGAAAAGTCTGGTGTTTCTTCGTGCGCGCGCCGACGGGCTGGCTCGGACTGGTCGGGAAACGAAACATATGCGAGCAAATATTTTTTTTCTATTTTAGCAAAGCTGAGAAGTAGGGGTGCACCAATTATGCTAAGGCACAAATTATGCAAGCAAATGCGGTTGTTACAGTTGACTTTTAATTAGTATAAACTGGTTATGATCACAGTAACACGGTAAGTTGGGCCAGTTGGTTGGGACCCATTGTGAAGTTGTTTACGGCGCAACGCCAGAAACACAGAACAGGAAAGAAGCAAAAGAGAAAGAAAAGTTGGCGTCGTCTTTTTTTTGGTTTTGCTCCTTCCCTGTCCTGTGTTTCTGGTGTTGCGTAGTAAACAAGTTCAGGATGATTATGATCATGATAATATAACGATAGAGTTTTTTAACTAATGGCTGTAAGCAAGGAATGCTGTAAGCAAGTAGGCACTTGCTTACAGAAGTCAGACCTTGGTGTCACAGTACCCTGACATGTGCTCCTGTGGCGTAGTCATTTAGTTGCTTCCTTAAAAAGAACTTCCATTGCATCTAAATCACAGTGGGCAATACAGACTTTGCTTAAGGCTGGTCACATTTTGTGTGTGTCTTGTGTACTTCCTTTTGTAGCATTACTGCTAAGTACCTCGTATTTTTCCTCATTGCACTTGGCCTTGAAGTTACAGTACAGAGTACCACAAATTATGTGTTGAACATTCAGAAATTGCACTGTTGTATGCAGCTGTCATTATAGCGAGCTTCATTCCGCTGTGCAGATATTCATTTCACTGTGGAAGCGTGCTCCCAGCTGCAGCTCTTGAGAAAGCAAACCAAGGACCTGCGGTTGGAAGTACGTAACCTGCGGCGGATGACACAGACTCAAGCTGTCACCGCCAGGGAAATGATTCGGGAGACATGCCTCAAGATCAAGGTGATAATTCTGCGTATTGTCTCAAATTGTTCTTTTGCTTTTTGAGCATGATTATTTAGCTGGTTCTCACCTTTATGTTTTCCTAGCACGTAAGATGCTGCTTCCACTGCTCGGCAGCCATTTAGCATGGCTGTTAAACTATGCTTTGACATTCATTGCATTGTTCTTTTGCGATATAAAGGCGTTATTTAACACTGTTTCCATCGTCAATGGCACTGGCTATCACACTGAAATAAAATGAACAGATACATTAAAAAATAACTTTTTTCCAGAAACCAAGATAGGGGTGTGGCGAGTTGGGCGGGTTGGTAAAGATGCATGACTTCGATATCCTAGCACCAAAAAACAAAAACAAAAGAAAGAGACCTAGACAACATTTACGTCGCTTTCTTTTGTCTCCATTTTTTGGTGCTAAGATATTGAAGTCATGCGAGGTAGGGGGCGGGTTCATTATGTGAGTGGGTTCATTAGGCGAGTGAATGCGGTATTGTCATCAGTGCATTGCTGGGCTCAGACATCACAAGACATAAGACATACTGCCTTTCTGGTGATAAATGTTTTGCCTAAGTGCACCAGTAAACATCGAGGCACTGTTTAACGTCGCACTGCCGTCCTCTCAAGTGCATTGGCATAGAGTTTTCAATCATCCCAGCCCAATTTAGGCCGATTTTTTAGTAGGATACAGCTTCTCGAAAGGATATGGGGAGTGGTAGAGGAGCTCGAGCCATCTTGCCAAAGGGAATGCATCAGTTACCAACATTCAATATGTAAACACTACAGTGAAATAACGTAGTTGTTATACCATAAAAATGCCCATATTTTTTAAATACATTTCGACAGCATTAACTAGCTCCTGGGCCAAAAATGTCTCCACAGCAATATGTAATCCATAACTCAGCAGGACCATTCCCACCAGTCCTTTCAGTTACACTACATAAGTTTACTGTTGTGATGTAATCAACTTGTGCACTGGTTGATTTTCATGAAAACTTGAAAGCAGCCAAAGCTATCCCTGAAAATAGCTTCAAATATTGACTCAATATTGATGATAGTTCTCTGTGTATTCGGCATTTGTTTTTTAATTTAGGTGATGCTGGCTGCTGTTCAAGTGGGTGAAGACCAGGTTTGTACAGAACGACTTCGGGTGTCCAGGGAAGAGGACCTGTACAGACAAGATGTCACACGGCTGGAGAAGGACCTGTCGTAAGAAGCCGCATTTTTATTAGTTCGTTCAAGAACTGCGTATACAAATACTATGTCGCATTTTGAATAAGATGCGAGCTTACTTGAATACATATTATTATTATTTATTATTATTATTTATTTACATATTATTATATTATTTACATAATATTATTTGCAGCGTACAAACTTGATATTGAGGTTATATTGCACTGGATCTTGAGAAACCAAAAAAAGAATGAAACTTGGAATTAGAACCACTTTGAAAGTTTTTTGCCAGAACTGTATTGCATGATATATATAAATTTTACACAAGCATGTATTGGTCTAACAAGAATGTTTGAAAGTCCATGATTATCCTACTAAGCTTCTGAAGGGAATGTCTTCCTAACAATTTCTTTTGTTATCTGATCCAACGACCAGGAATGCTGTATATGAGTTACTGAATTTGCTGTGTTTGTCAAATGCTTTTTTCGTTGCAGTGACTTGGAGAGTCAAGTAGAGGAGCTCAGGGGCAACGTGATCAATCGAAGATGCCGAGTAAACATGAGCAATGTGGAAAGCATGGCTCTAGTTCTCAGCAGGGCCAGCAAAACAGTAGCAGACCTGAAAGGTAAATCGCTGAGCAACCAGTCCAACAGTGACCCTCCGAATGGTTTGTTCTGTGGTTTAGCTATCTCGGCTTAAGGAAGGGCTCCTATTATCAGAAAAAAAAAAAAAAAGCTTCAAGCAGATTCACTTGATTAACATCACAAAGACCTGTTAAAATTGTAATTTGATTGCACTGAGCAAAATGCACAAATGGAAAATAGGACAAAACATGTCTTGTCCTGTCCTATTTCTCATCAGACATTTGTTAATTTCACACAGCGCAACCACATTACAATCTAAAGAAAAAAAAAGGCGTGCAATCACAGACACAAGAACTCAGAGCACCACAAATGCCTACAAACAACTGAGTTTTAAATAGGCGTTTGTGGTGTCCTGACTTCTTGTGTCTGTGATTGCATGCCCTGTTCTTTCAGAAGAAATAAATACCAACTAGCTCATCTCTCTATTACTTTAAACACATTGCAATACCATACTAACTAGTCTAAACTGAAGTTTTGCTTAACTGGTTGAAAACAGGGAAGCTAGTGGCATCATATTACTATTTCATTGCTTGAATTAGCTCTATCGAAGTTTTGCCACCCCGTGCAAGTTTCAAGTTCACAACATTCAGTGGACCAAAGGTGAGCCATGAGAGGCTCGCACAGGTTTTTGGCACATACCAGCTAGAGTAGTTTTAGACAGCTCCTTTTTTTTTTGGTGGGGTTTGCCTGGCTCTGTTAAAGTTAGGAATAAACCACCACTTTTGTTGATTTAATGCCAAAGAAATTCGGTTACTTGGGATTCGGACCCAATAAATACCTGGCGAGGAATGGTAATTTGAAACTTCATTAAAACAAATTTGTTTTGATGAAGTTTAAACTGCTTATCTTCACTGATACTTTGGTAGCTGCCTGGTATGACTGCAATGTTCTGAGTTGCATACAGTTATTTAACAATCTGCCTCCTCTATTGAGAAAAATAAAAAACAAAAAGTATTCACATATCTTACCTATAAACTGGGACCTTCCACTTGGCTGTTTTTTTTTTCCTTGTGAAAACTCACCTATTTCTTAATTCATGAGACATAAGAAGTGGTAATTAGTACTATATTAAATAAAAAGTTAATTTCCCTCAAACTGGTTAGTATATGTTGATTTATGTGAATGATGTTGCTATGACAATATCATTCTATTACATCGCATTTACAGTTTGATTATGCTGAACCTATGCAGAGATGAAGTACGATTTGAGTATTTGTTTGAATGCACCATATTTATTCAACTGTTGGCTCATTGGTAGCTTGTATTCTTTTCCTGTTGCAGCGCGGTTCCCAAATCTACAAGAAAGCTTGAAATCAGTCATGGGAGCAGAAATGGAAGTTGTTGTTCGAGAAGAAAAGTAAGTGTCTATACAAATCTTTTATGTATGTCTTCTTGCATCATATGTATATCAAGACATGTACGTTTAGGAAGTGATATGAACGGTGATACACTGCGACTTTGAGCAGTCAAGATGCTTACTTCTGTCTAAGACTATTTATCGTTGGCCATTCCTAACTGCATGTAACATACAATATACTTCTTTTACATAATTAGTGAGCCATTCTGCTGCTTGAACTGGCCACCATGTATCTGTATTATTCTTTATGTGGCTTGCACACCTCCTGTTTTAGGCATGAAATTCTGGCACTTGGTGTAGACACTGTCAGTTGAAAGTAACTGAATGTGGCATTTGTTTTCCAGATGATGATGATGGTGGTGACCATGTGCATAACATCAATTGATTACATTTACCAACAGTCAATAAAATATGAGTTTAAGCATAAGCTATGAGTTCATCGTGGCATATTGTAATGAATGCATTTTGCTTGAAAGTTTTTTTCTTATATAGTCTACAATTATAAGCTTTTTGCTAATTCTAAAGAACTAGTGAGGAGTAGCTGATGTCTAGCTGTTATATCTATTTAGTACAGTATATACTATACAGTGCACTTTGCCTAACATTTTACTGACCTTTCTATAAGTTCTATAAATCTTCTAACAAGTATTTCTGCATTTATTATGACACCATGAGCAGCAAACCAGCAGTCGTCTCAGTTGTGTCCTAGCCAAACAACTAGCTGAATAACAAATCTTTGTACAGAGTGTTTCTGAGAATACATTAAGAACTAAACATGGTGAACTAGCAATGAAGGCTTTCATGTTTTCATACCTTCAGAGCCGATTTCTAATGTACTACAGGCTGCTCTGAGGTCTTGTGTAGCTAAACTGAAGCTGTGCACCAGTGTTGCGGAACGGGCACATTTATTTCAATTCAGTTACATTCTGGGAAATTAGGACTTACCGCAATTTTATTCCTTCTATTTTCTCAGAGTGAAAAAAACTTGGCCAATTCTTGCTTCGGAATTGGGGGGACCGTTCAATTCCGTTCCTTCGATTCCTCAATGTAGGAAATGCATCTTGATAGTCTTATTGAGTTAAGAATGAACACCTCATAAAAATGGCGTCATGAGATGCATTAAGAACTGCAAAAGTAAGCAAAAGACGTTGCCAAGGTCGAGGGTTAGTAGCTTGATGGCATATCTCGTGCAGTAAAACCACCCTACCAATTCCCATAGAAGCAGTTCTCCCACTACATGTAGTATTTGTATGGTCAGCATGTTTGAACGAATGATGTTTTTTTTTAATTGTTTAAGCTTATATTTGTTGAATTCTAAACAGAGGAAATTCCGTATTTTCAAGTTGACAAAAGTAGTCTTAAAAAGCAGTTTTGTCACGTGTCTGGAGCAATCGTGACTATAGAGAAAACTAAACTGTGACTAACGGGGAGCAAAACACCTTTAGATATGCTGGTACTGTATGGAACAGTGCGCTGCCGCTTGGGCATCCTGTGCCTTTTTATCGAATACGGAACACTGGGCCACATGCTTGTCTTCACTTACGCTTGTCAAGTGTGCCTCACAAGCATGGATGGGGTGAAAACTTTCTGTGTTCACCTGTGCACGGGTATGCAATCTCTTCCTTGTCGCAAAGGTTATTTACGTGTGTCGTGTACTAAACTGCCTGTAAGATGAAGAGCAGGCTGTGCATAGAGTTTTCGTCAATCTCATATGGGGGTATTAATAGGAACCAACAGCAGGGATAATTTGTTTCTCCCTGCATTATCACTTGGGATAATGCATTTTTTGTAAGCTAACTTTAGCCCCAGTTTTTATTTTACAAATTGGCAGATTGTTCTCACTTTTAAATCATGCTAACCCTTGGTTTTGGCTAACTAAAGGATAACCAAGAGAGTGCGTTGTGGCCTTCGACTTCGATAGAACATGTATACTCAGGCCTCCATGGCTAATTTGAGCATGATATTACAGTAGTACCTATTAACGGTGTCGGGAATTATGTTCCTCCCTAATGTACTCTTTGCTTGGTGATGTGAACAGGGATTTGTGCCGAGATGTAGGAACCGAGTAACGATGCAGAAAAAACAATGATAATAATGAGATGCTCTCACCCCGGAGCGCTGGGACTACGAGATGACCAGCTCTCAGCTCGAGATTGAGGAGCATTTGATCTTCTGGGATAATCTACCAAAAGCCTGATTTTCCGAACACGTTCAGCAATTGGTCACTACTTCTGTGGTCAGTAGGTGTAGGTCATAGAATATGCTTAAGCGTCCTCATGATTTTTAAATGCTGAAATAAATGTCGCAAGCAGTACAGTGTACAAAAAAAAGCTTCTTTATTTTAGTTTTTTTTTGTTTTGCAGCTAAATTTCAGAAGCTAAATAGGTGCTTCGCTGTTTAGTTTTAAAACCTACCCGAATTGAGATTGACGGCTCTTTGAATGACTGGTTCTACAAAAAAAAGTAAAATCTACCTAATTATGCATGTGTTGCGCTTCATAATCATGAGCTGCTCAAGCGCAAACCACTGGGCGCAGCAGCCTGTGTGGTATTGCATTATGCTTGTGCTTTTCCAGCCGCCAACAGGTGTGGCGGCGGCGTCACTTGCAACTTCCCCACCCTAGAATGGAGCGAATGTGGGTTTTCTTCGCCGAAAATTATCATGTTGGGACTCGGGGAGGCACCGCCGTGGCCGTGGTTAGGTGGGCTTTCCTGCTTCAGGTGGCTTCTGGAACTAGTGCTTCCAAAGTTAATTCTCTTGCTGTTGTATGGTGTAGGAGCGCACAAAGTTGATCTTGTACGACTGTGTGCTGTGGGCTTTCCTGCTTCAGATGGCTTCTGGAACCAGTGCTTCTAAAGTTAATTCTCTTGCTGTTGTACCCTGGAGGAGCGCACAAAGTTGATCTTGTACGACTGTGTGCTGCGCTGACCTACTGACCTTCGCCCACAGAGTTTCAGGCGAAGCTGCCCGTGCGTGTAGACAGTATTGTATTGTAATGAGGATGGAAACTTGCAGTGAACAAAAACATTGTGCCAGCATTAATACGCATCACAACTTAAAAAAGCGTTTTTTCAAATATACATCTGAGTCACCGACGGCAATAGAAGCTAGCACAAAAAAGTAAAAAGTGGGGAGACAGCAGGCGGCTAGAGTCTGTAGATGGCTGGGCCGCCATGAAAAATAATCACACGGCATATAGGGGGAGGGGGAAGATGCTGCTGCCATAGTCCCACTCGACCAAAATTACGCGGAAAATAGAAACGAACTTCAGAGGCACACAGTCGATATAAGGGCAGAGTTGTAGTAGGCAAGTTGCTTATAAATGTACCGTACTCATAATCAGCCAAGCCATATTAAAAATGCTACTTTATTGTTAAATTCGAGGCTCTGATGTTTTGAAGTTTGAAAAACAGCAGTTAGACAAGAAAATGCTCTGTTTTCGAAAGACTTAATTTAATTCCCATTCCATTCCTCCAGACGTTGTCCCATTCCATTCTGGGGTTACAAAAGTGTGGAATGATTCTGGAATTATTTAAATTCCAAAGTGGCAACTCCGCAACCCTGCTGTGCACTGTTTCTAGCTTATCTGCGAAAGCTCACAATACAAAATGTTCACTTCGTGGCCACTACACCATCACTACTGTGCTCTAAAGGAATGTTTTGCACTAAGTGGATGGATGCGGAGAGTGAATGACACAGCTTTGTAATTTTCATGCTTTATTGATAATCTCCACAAATTTTTATTGAGTGGCACTGATGCTTGCTGTTTTTTTCATCGCAGATTCCTCAAGGAGGAGCCAGAAAGACTAGAAAATGCACTTAGGCGGTGCAAGAAGCTTACTGGGACACTAGTCACATTAAAAAGGTTTGCACTTTTTCCCCCAAGCTACACATGTGCACTAAATTTTTTCCTGTTTTTAGTGTTTAAGCATTAAACTGTTCAGTAGAATGTGGCTTTTACGATATTACAATGTTCCTTTTGAAAAATAATAAGAGTTTTCCATTCTGTGCAGTTGTACTCAAGGCTGCTCTAAATATTTTATATGAATCCACATTGTATTCATGCATTAAAGTTGATATGAAATCTCATTAATTTTTTATATCAGTGACTTCATTAAACCAAAAGTGCGAATGTGGTTACTGGCTTTGAATGAATATTTTCTAGTGGTACGTCCATAAGTTGGTTATTTCAGAGGGCCTAGTAATGCATTGTTGATATAAGAATTAGTCATCATTTTTTAAAACAGCTTATTCAGCTTCAAAAAGTATTCTGAAGTATCAGATATTTCGGTTTCAAAAAAGCATCAGGAGTACTGGTGTTATTGTCTGGTCCAACTGAACTAGGGTTCAGAAAACTTTCACAAGGCTGCATGTTTGTGTAAAACATTTATGATTTTACCCCAAGGAGGATCTGTTGCTTTCTCCAATGTTTACCTATGGGAGCATGATTTCCTATAGCTGCACTGTGTAAATTAACACTTTTTTTAAGCATCTTCTGGCATGAAAAATAACTCTCGTCAATAAAGGAACTGCTTCATGCACGTAGGTTGGCATCAGTTCAAGAGCAGAGGCACACGGGAGCTCACACGCTCCCTGAGAAAGCAGCATCAGCGGACGGGCCATACTCCGACGGCGAGGCACACACTGCTCGGGTGAGCAACAACTGCGCTGCAGCATCCACAAATGTGTTGCACGCTCATTTTGTCTATGGAAAGTGTCGCAAGGTAGCATAAAATGTTTCATCCTGTCACCTCAAGTATGAAAAACTGTTGATCCTAGACAGGTGATGGCTTAAGGCCCTCATACAGGTTGTTGTTAAACGTTATTTTCTGATCCCGATATGCTCTTCACCATTTCTATTTCCTAGCTTATTAGAAAAAATGCTTCATGAAGCTCGTGTATTATTTTCACATTTTCATGTATCCATCATATCAATGTAGATTTACTGTAAGAGGTCATTACCATCTTCTATAAAGAACTGCGTTTTGCCACGCACTAGCTGGTTACTGATACTACTAGTAGGTTGCCAACACATTTGTCCTATAGTGTAGCTTCTCCCTGTTTTCGGTGGGCATTACGTATGAATCTGAAGAAAAAAAAGCACTACAATGCTATCCACATTTGTGTCTCCTTTTGTTGATGCAAGGGTTTTTTTGGTACCAACAGGGCAGTGCTAAGTGGTCATGCTTGATATGTTTATCCTGGAAAGCTTTTCATGCTATTTGCAGTTATATTATGTCATTGGATCTTTTTAATTATTGTATTTATATTGTGATACAGCTTAGGTTGCTTTAAAGTTCAAAAGAAGCATCTCAGATGGTTATTTGAGGCGTGTTTTATTACCATGAGCTGCTAGGCCTATAGAAGTTTTATATTCTGCATAGCAATACTGGCTTCCTAAGGACAGTGACCCAGGAAATATATTTATTAGGTGTTCTTGAACTCGTGATGCAGTACTCTTTAAACTAGGGCATGTGTCTTTCATAAACTCTTTTATATGAGTTACATTATTTCCATTTATTTAGGTATCACCTTCTAGCTTTTCGACAGAACAGGTCTTTCAATAGATTTCATGTTAATATAGCATTAAGTTCGTATTATGCTGATGTGAGGCATAAACAGTGCATATATATGTGCCCATTAGGGCAATGTTGGTGAAAAACAGCTCAGGTTTATGTTATAACTCGATTCAGCATGAAAATTGACAATTATTGTTTTAATTTGGTTGAACATTTGCTGTCATGATTATCACAAGATTCGCTGTGCAAGAAATATAATTAAACTTTTTGTTAAATGCAACCCTTGAATTCGAAGTAGTCACAAACAGGTCAGGATGGGGAAGTTTAATGTCTTTGACAGAAGATGGAAGGATTTCCGTGTGACTGGTTCATCAACAGGCTCAAAAAATGTTGGGCGTAAAGTGTGCCCGAGTAAATTATCACATTTAATCAAGTGCCTAGTCAAACATGAGGCTTGATTAAGAAACAAGAAAACATGAAGGCAGCAAGCTGTCGCTTTAGAAGACAGAACTTCTGATTCGTTATTACAGATGCAGTGGCAGAGGAACACTGAAATAAATGTGGTGCATGTTCTTTCAAGCTGATTAAGGTAAACACAAAGGTCTTAATGGTTACCTTCTGTGCTAAGTAATGAGCCGCTCGAAGCCCAACTACAGCCTTAATGAAAACACTTCAGGCATTCCCTGTTTGTATAAGTTTTGTGACATATTTGTCAAGAACTATAATAATAACCTAGATTTGTAAGCTATGGAGTTTTCAGGGTGCATAAAAACAGTTCACTAATCTATGCTTTTCATACTCTCAAGTAATATTGTAGCCGAGGCAATAATAGAAGCTCTGAAAAATTCATGGGATCTGATCAGTGTGCATTGCACCAAATATATTGAATATATTTTGCTTGACGTGTCCTGCAGAAATAACAATATTAAATTTTTTTTGCTGTGCAAATATCAATAAGGCGTAGCTGTAAAATAGATATCATGGCCGTGCCACAGTGTAGTGATGATCTGTATAGTAGACTCAAGCCTCGATATAACGAATCTGGATATAACGAAATATCGGCTATAACGAAGTAATTGAAATAGTCTCGCAATACATTTGGTGTGAAGAATAAATATTTATAACGAATTTTCGGATATAACGAACCTATTTTTTGTGTCAGATGCAAGTTTGTTATAATGAGGTTTGAGTGTAAAACGCAAACAAGATTCTGGCCGCATGCACTGGTTTTCTTCAGAAGTCTGGGGCTTTATGGAAACAGACGTTTAGACATGAATGTACTTTTAGTACTCCTATATCATCTCTCCTCATTTTTCTTGCACAGTGAAAACTCATGAACATTCATTGTCTTCTAAGAAAAAGTGCGCACATCATTCTTCTGAGTTTGAGGCGTGTTTTTATGCATGGCCTCATAGAATAAGTTTCTTCAACATATTTATGACAATGAATTCTTTAGAAGATGTGAAATTATTTGGTAAATTTAGTATTCTTTGACAATGCAGATTGCTTATCCTAGTTCAATGATCTCTGTTGTGATAGAAAATACCATCCAGAGAAGATACAAAATGAATAGCACCAACATGTTTTTTTTTTTTTAAATTTTGAAATGAAGGTCAATAAGAAATCAAGTGCCTGCAGTGCACAAAATGAAATGACGCTTACACATTTGGTGACGTCTGTAGTCAATATCAGTTCCCAAGAGGAGGACTCTTTCAACGCAGTCATGTTGAAGGCTCTGTTTAGGTGGCCAGAAAGATCAAGAAAATGGCGCTTTATTTGTATAACTCAGAACTGCATATAATCGGTCAGGCAAATCGGCGGCTGCATTAAAGTACAAGTTATTAACAGATTAGAAGATTTCGTGTAGGGCTCCTTCCGGTGTTTTTTCCGATATTCAATAGCAATAGTTGGAATCCCAGCTCCGTATTTTTGTACTACTTAGTAATACCTCCCATATCTCCTTCACACATAATGATTTTCTAAACAAAAAGAACATGTGGAATTTCTACACATACACCTAAAACGATGTTTCGATGACCATGTCAAGGCTGTTAATACCAGTAGTGAAATTCACCTAATGCTACCACTGCTACTTCTATCAAATTGAAGCTTGTTTAATAGAACCATTAAAGAGAATTGAAAACAGAACCATATGTACATGAAGCTGCTACATGCACACATGTTCAGTTAAAAGTTTGATACTATTTTGTTATCTTGGCCATAGATAGCATGCAAATAATAGCTGTGTTCAAAGATTCATTACGATTACAACTCGTATCGCAAAGATAGAAAGAGTAGCTTGTGAAATCGAGGCTGTTTCGCAGTCACTGAGAACATTTCCCGTTAATTAACTGAATTATAAAACAGAGAGTGCACTGACATGGAATAATGCTTTTCTTCCATTGTATGAAGAACTAATAAATGAGAATCAGCAGAATTGTGATGCTTACCATAGAATGCAAGCCGCCTGGTGTTGCAGTGACCTGACTAACCATGCTATGCTCTTTCAAATTTAAACTGCAGGCATAGTGAATATGGGTTTTTATCTTACAAAATACGAGCAATGTCTCAGCACCAGTTGTCATTGGCGCTTACCATATGCCATAATTGACTCAACTTGCAAGGCAAAAATGATGTCCCCTACACGGAGCGTGAAACATGACTGCACTTATGTCCCACGGCAGCATCACCCTATCACTGTGCAGCTTTGTGCGCGCAATTTTTGGCGCCCCGCCCAGTTTTTCGGGGCCCCAGCCACTGCAACAGGCTCTCAGATGGGGCCAACTGTGGACCCTGTTGACACCTGTCATCCTTCTCTCCTCCCCCGTTAGTCAAGCAGGCAGGCTTGGAAGTGGAGTTCTAATTTCCGGGAGAAAATAGAGTAACTATGGCTCTCTTGTCTGCCTCTTGCTCATTCCTCGTCTTGTGCTGCTAAACAGGCTGCATGTAGCGCCCCGTTTCCTGGCAAGACCCCGCTCCTGCCCTCTATTTATTTGCGGTTCTCTTTAGTTGTGGGATGTGGTTTGTTCATTTTTTTTTTTCTGTCTCTTTGCGTTGCCTGGAGTACTATGCCACCGAGCCATTTGGCGCTCAGCAGCGGAGACAGCCCCCGTCAGCCCTGCCGCCATTCGTTTTGCTGTGCCAGTGAACTGAGTATGACGCCCTACTTTGTGCATCATGCTAGTGTGACACAAGTTTAATGTAACAAGTTATGAATACCAGGTTCGACTGCCAAAGTCCCACTGCCATAATTAATGGCACTTATGCAACTGGAGTGCGATCTTGTATTCACCGTATGATGACCCGTTCAGGACTCCTCTGCCTCTACCATTCTATAGAGATAATGAACATAACTGATAGTATAGTTTGTCATTTAAAACTCAATACTCACTTTATTAACATTTCGTTAGCGGGAATTCTGGATGAACCGAGCTCATTCATGAAAACGGGTAGAGTTGAGGCTATAGCTTTTTGCTGTGTTTAACTGGAGCACACAATAAAGTTCCCCTCTAGAAGCCTTTTTGGTAATTCTGCAGAAAAACATCGACCTTTGAAGAACATGCATTGATCCTGGGGAGAACTCCTATTCTTAAAAAAAACGTGTACTGTGTGGAATCCTATATTAAAAACATAGCGTGTTTGTATAGAGGTAGGCGTCATTTTCTCATCAGTTCCTTCAAAGAACAAAAAAGAAGCACTTCGAGAGTACTCACTCAAATGTGTGCATTCTCACTCCGTGGGCTCACACAAATACAAATGGCCATGATTTACATAACTTACATCTAAGCTGTATTGATGTTCAATAATATGTGCTTTCAATAATAAAAAATAACGACTTCCATTAAATGAAACACAAAACGAACACACCTTTGAGGTTAATTCAGTTCTGACAGGTTATATCATTGTAAGTAAAAATTTGACTATTGTAGTCTCTAATGGCACTCACGAAATTATTCAAGCTTGACTGGTCACCGCATACTCGCCTGGTCGTGCACTAAACCTTGCGATTCCAGTTTTTTAATGGTGTAGAAATGACGCTGGTTGTATGAAGAATCTATTGTCTACTGGCTAAAGCAGTTCTAGCCCTGCTTTGGGACAGATTTTGAAACGAAAATGGCATGAATGACTGCTCGTATTAGTAAGCATTATAAATGCTAATGAAACCGAAAGCGCCTTCATCTATTTATCTACGACCTCACATGAAAGCTGGTGTCATAGTCACGGTCATCATTAAATGGAGAGATAACGGTATAAACTAGTGCTTTAGAGTGTCCAGGGGTATCACAGAAGTATGGGGTCAGGAAACAATCCTTTTGTTAAGTGGCAGCAGTGGCAAGCCATTTGGAGACATTATGTGGAAATGTTAATTAAACAGGGTTGTTCTGCATATGAAATAGATAGCAATAGAGCCAATTGATGTGATGTGGACAGGTAAAAAATGTGTGATTGTTGCAGAAATAATTGAAGGCTGGCACCACTGTCTCATTTGCGAATGTATCACATGGCCTTGAGAAATAACAATATCAAAAACCATTGAGCAGAACAAGATCTAGATGCTATTTGCCTTATATTATGATTATTGACAGCAGTAGAAAGTTTGACAGTGCTTAAAGTATCACAGTATAATGAGAGCTCATTTGTATGCACAAAATTTGTAAAAGCTTGTTTTCATCATGAAGTTATGAGGCAGGATCTGGTGTGTTTTATGTTTTGGCATCAGTAGACCTTAGCGCATGATAGAGTGGGTTAAGCTTATTAAAAATAAGGCTCAGTACTTTTTGTTTCCTGGTGAATGTATAATGAAATATGCTGGATGGCTAAACTTTGTCAGTTTCTGTTAGGTTCAAAATAACGGAAGTCATATGCTGAAGGTTTAAAGCAGCAACAGAACACCCATTGTATGGCAGTACGCTTATGATAAAATTGCAGATTTCATTGACAGGGAAAAACCGGCCATGTTGAGGATATGGTAAATGACGACGGCAGTAGATACTGATAGCATGGATGCTAATGGAAAATAAAATGCAGCAATTGGGTAAAGCAATCATGTTAGTGTATGAAGAGAAAGACCGCGTGTTGCCAGCTCAGGATATCACAATGGAGGTGGAAGAGGCTTTTGTCTTGCTGTAGAGATCATCTGGTTGGCAATGACGATTCAATTCGTTGGGCGACGGATGGCGTCATACTGGTGAGGGGCACTGTCTTGCACTGCCCACCGCGTGTTCTGCATATACCAAAAGTTACGGAAAGCAGCATTGGGCCTCGGATGTTCGCATGCTCGTTTACCCGAACCAAAGCGGTTTTTGGCATGAGCGTGAGCTTTCTTGGCATGGTCTCGTTTTTGGAGAAGTATTTTCAGAGTGGCAGCTCACGAGTACGCTACTCGTTGCTCTGACCCTGATTTCCTGTAATTAATCGTGTTGATCTGCTTTGAAATAATCCTTGAGCAGCGAGCGGTGGCTTCTGTTTGCATATTGCCTTGGTTCGTGACTTTCTGTTTAGTTTTTGTCTCGTGTCGACGTTGCATTGGGCTCTTTTCAGAATTATAGTCTTTCACCTGTTTTTTGCATTGCTACCATTTTTACAAGTGTTTATATGACAATTTTTGGAATGTCAGACAACACTTAAAGCATAATTTTTTGGAGGAGTGTAACTGAAAGAGTAAATGTTAGAATGGCGAATCTATCTAACATATACAAAATAAGAATGACTTTTTGATCCAGCATAATGTTTTGATAGTTTTTTTAGCTCTGTGTTTATTTGTGCTTTAATGTTTGTTTTTAGATTTACACCATTTTTTTTCTGCTTACATCCGTGCTTTTTTGTGGTGAATTGTGGGTTGAGTGAGTTCAAGGTTTTTGAGTTTCTTACGTTCTTTTGTTTTGCTCTCCCCTCAAACCGATACTGCAGCCTGTGGAGAGGGTACTCCACACTGGGATGGTCGGATAAGGTTGGTGTCGAAAGAATGCGAAGCCCGATTTTGAGCCCGAGCGTATTTCTCGGTAGCTGAAGCTCTCGGATAGGTGTAGCTTTTTAGCCGAAGACATTTTTTGTTCCCTTTTTTTTTGAAAAATTTGCAAAGCTGCTGTTTAGTGATGTTGCGCGAACACTGAAGGAGCAAACCCGCAAGCTCCAAGAGACTCGAATAGAATGTGATATTGAGTTGACACTGAAGTTTATTGTACTCTCCGTTTTGTGACATCATGATGACATTATTGGTGCTAGATTCTGTGCTTTATAGATCATCTTGTGAAAGCAGCACTTCATTATATCTGGTCTCACTTACCTGAGGATGCCATGCACTGGAGAGTGGTCCCTACTGTGGAAATTTTCATGACAGAAGGGCACCCTCTGAACTTCAAGCAGTGGGGGTTGGGGCTGTGATTCAGCTTGCATTATCTCATACTGGATGACCTGTTGGTAATGGAGCACTCTGCAGGCGGCGAAGAAAGATGCCTTGGGGAAGGCGGGAAAGGGGTTCAGTGGGCTGTTTTTTTGGCTACACCCCTGCTCGAAAGAGCCAAGATAAAACATCATCCGAAATTTTGAATGAATCGTGAAACCATTCACTGTCTATTTTTTTTTTTTACTTTATGCTCTCACCAGAGGTATCAAATGACGTTCTTGAAAGTGACCACAGCCGCCCGATTCAGTACAAGTTACAACAAGCCTGACTGCGCATCATCAATCGTCTCTGTTCGTTAGAGAACAGTCTGACTTTCGCTACCCAAGTTTCCACCTGCTCTACGCTGCATTTTTAAAGACGATAGTCTTTCTTGGGGACCTTTGGACGCAAAAAGTTTCGTCTGCCTGTCTGTTTTTCTGTCTGTCTGTTTGTCTGCCCTTAATGGTACCCTAAACGGCACCAAAGGATGACCCGAGCAGCCGACCTCATACGCAGGGCCCACCAATATTGCTCAAGATTCAACATTCATATTTGTGCGATTGTCAATTAAACAGCAATTACTGCGCATATCTTAGGCATCATAACAATACATGAATATTCTGTATGTGTGTATATTTACTAGAAAATGCATACATAAGGAATTCTAAGGACCTTAGTGTTTATCACGCTGTGCTGACCATGCAACGCTTGCACGAAAAGGCAAGTGTTTCTAACCCTTTCCTAAGACAACATGGTGGTGGCACCTACCCATCGCTTTGCATTCTACAACTTATCACTTCCGAGACGGGCATGCACGCCGCACGCTTCGTTGTCCAAGATAACCGCCAGATAGCGCTCATGTCTCACGTGTGACATGACTTGATGTGCTCTTTCGTCTTCGCTGCACGCTCGAGGCACTGTAATGCAGTGCCTCCAGAATACCATTCACCGATTTTCTTGTGCAGAACATCAAATAAACGTTTTGTTCACTCTCTCCAGACACAAGACTATCATCTTTCAACGACATTTACAGTGTAACATGCAAATACGGGGCAAATTTTTTATTGAAGTGATTTGATGACTGCCGTCACATCCACCTCGATTATTCTCGCTAAAGAATCGGAACACAGGGAGCGAAGGCAAAAGCATGAAGCAAGGGCTTGAAGACATTACGAGATGGTCCTTTAAACACCTAGCTTTGTCACAATGCAGCGGCCTAAGGACATTCTGCATTATATGAATGCAAACAAAGAAGGAAGCATAGCATCTGCTTCTTCAGTAGATACATGCGAATGAGCCACCTTTCTTAAAGATCTGTGAACTGATAAGATGGCTAATAGGTGTACTAGCGTGTACTAGCAAAGACTTTCAGCAATGTCAATCATACGCGATTGCACGATATGTGATATTGGGAGTAGTGGAAGGCATTCATATGTTTTTGTAGACTACTGAATTTTCTGTCAGTATTGCACTCACATTTTTCTCCCAGAAAAACTACAGGGACTGTGGTGCGTATAATTTCTGACACAATAACAATAATGTTTTAAAATGCGAAGCTCTTTAAGGGGCCAGGCTGTCACAAGGTGTTGTCGCTTGACGTAACGCAGGCAATGCCACATATGACATAGCTAGCTACAGCATATTGAGCGTGTGCTCGTACCAAAGAGGAGTCTTCTTCTATGTGTTTATCAAGCACCTTGATGATCATAATAATGGACGCAGAACTACGTATAGAATATACAGCTGTAGCATATTGAAGTGTGTGCTTGTGTGAAGAGGCGTACTCTTCCTCTTGTTCATAATGATGATATCAAGTGAGGAAATTTATTCGATCCACCTTGCACTACGATTGATGGTGGTGCCGTCTGGGTTTCGTTAGGGGATGTTCCAGAGCAGCAGCAAAGAAATGCAGAAACAAATACGAGAGTCCAAATGTCGTGCAAGCCCTATGCTACTGGTCCGCTGTCTCGCGAGTTCTTATGACTGTGATTCGTGAAATACGGTGCCGCTTACAATGCCTGGCATGTCCAACTACCAGAAAACGTTCACTGTCGTTCTGACGGTAGCAACTCATGATTTGGGTGCTCTTTCACTATCAGATGGCCCTTGCATCACAAATCACCACACATCATCACTGTCGTACTTGCTGGACAATCAGCTCTGTCTTTTTCTGTGGCTGGAGCCATCTTGTGCTGCACGGATTCGGCACTACCTTATGAGCAGGGGACAGTGAATTCGTGAACTAGCCTTCCACGACGAGAACTGGTCTTGCACAACGGGGACAGCAGCTTTACGCACTGCAACGACAGGAGACAGGTGCCAAGTGGGCATGAAACAGATGCATAGTCATGAATCTTCCTATGAGAAGCAGCAGCATCAGTGCTGTTTCTAGTTGGTATCTAAGACGATGTAAGTGGAATCGATGATTCCTAAACACTGTGCAGGTAGCTGTCCATAAATGATTGTGGAGATGTAGTCCCCATGTTTGAGCTCTAATTAGTCATGGGGAAGCAGTCATCTAAGAGGTAGTTCGTTCAGCAGATTTTTATCGAAAAGTTTCTCCAAGCATTCACTCGCTTAAAATTGTTGACAGCGGGCTGGCTTCAACAGCACCAGAGCGTGTACTCATTACATTTGAACATTCTATTTATTATTTATACTCTTTCTGCTCGGGCAAATATTTATCGCAGTAGCGCTAGTGCAATTCTTGTGGTTCCAGCTGAGAACCAGATGAGACTTTCGCAGTTTGCCTCAAACAACAAAAAAAACTTGTAGAAGTCCCTGTGGCGTAAATCTATGCACTTTGCCAAGTGTGTCGACTAATCCCAGTCGAAGAAGTGCCTTCTTTACAAAACTCAACCTGTGTGCCTACGTGGACTGTCGTTGTTAGGTTTCAGTGTGCGTCTCTGACACTGTGCACCTGTTTTTGTCTTTCCTGTTTTTGTATCGTGTGCACCTTATCACAACCTGTGCGATCGACAGTGAAGATGGAGAGAAGCCAGGCGCAAGAAAACAGGCCACGGTAATCATGTTTCTCCTTAGATAAGGAAGAACAACTGTCATAAGTATGTCCTAAGGGCCATCACTGGTGCCCAGTCAGACAGAAAGTCTCTTGCTGCTGGAGGAGGCATTGATATGAAATGTGATAAGAAACCATTCGGGGTAACTTGTCCTTCTCCTAAGGCTGAATCGTGCATGCTTGTCATGCGGAGCACTTGCCCTCATGCTGGTGAGCACCTGCACATAGTCACGTTGATCATCTCATGTTGGTCATGTGTGCACAAGAAAGTGTGCCAGTCCCTGAAGTTTGGCGCCAGCGAATATATCACCACCAGTGCTGATGCGTTGTCGCAGCCTATGGCTGCCATGGCCATGAGCGCTGTCACACAAACTGGGCATCTGCATCCTGGACTGATCAAAGAAGTACGTGAAAGGATGACTGATTGTGTGTGTGAATGACTGATGGATGACTGTACTTATGAGAGTAAGCTTAAAATTAAAAGAAAGGTGAATGTGAAAGCCTGACTAGATTACATAACGTGCTTTTGGCACAAATATGAAGGAATCATTATAGTCCTGTGTATTTAGGGCAAGAAATCCACATACGACTACCATACATGGCTGAAAGGCATTAGAATAATCGGAGATTCTACCGAATTTAGAAGGATTGCGTTGTCAAAGAGCACACAAAATATAACTCAACACCCCATCCAACGTTTGCAAAGCTTCACTTTAAAAAAAAAAAGAAAGCTCAGAAGTATCCTACACAAAAAAAAGGGGGGGGGTCAGCTGAAGAGGTACAATATCTCCAGTGTCGCCTACTGCATACTTAGAAGTATTTGAATGTCGAAGTTGGGAAGGAATGGGAATAAAGACTAGTGTAAGGTATCTCAGCCACTGATGGTTCACAGTCAATGTGATGATCTTCAGCAGCAAATCGCAAAACAATGATCAAGCACCTAAATTGTTGCACAAACATAGTGTTGAGAGAAATTAACAAAAGACAAAGGCGAAGGTGAAATCACGGCCGTTTCCGGTTGGCCACCGTGCTGTAAATCGAGTATGTATACTAGGTAGATTACTAGTAGTGGAATTCACTGGCATAGACTACAGTTAACCAAAAATTATGAGGATTGAGTTGTGAGCATGTGATATATATATTCCCAGCCCACAAAAGAAACTTACCATTGTTCCTAAAATGAAAAAAGTGCAATTATTGTGTATTGCCAGCATCATCATATGGGACAGGAACTTGGAGAATAATAATGATAATAAAAATGATATTATATTATTGATGAAATTCGGAAAAAAGATAAAATCACACAGCATGCGATGGAATGGTCGAGAATAAGGTAATAATTAAAGATCGAATAAAATAGAGTGGATCAAAAAGCAACTAAGGGTCGCCGACATAATAGTTTTTACGTTAAATTTAAAAAATTGAACCAGGGCAAGTCACATAATATGAACATATAACCGATGGCTAGTAAAAGCAGTGTGATGAGTATCAAGACATCTACAGAAATGTAGCTGAGGGCGCCTGAAAATTCCTTCGCGCAATGAAATGAATAAACTTGCAAGTACAAAAGAAAGCCTGCTTGTGCAGAACATGACATGTTGAAAACATTGAGAGAATATGTAAATAAAATAGGAAGGTGTATTTAACAGGCTGACATTAGCCTCGTGCAGCCCGACATCTAAACATCGATCACAACAAAGTATACCAGTTAGTTCGCAAGGCGCACTAACTGGCGCATTGAGAGGGAGATGCGCATTGCGGCCACGATGAGGCCTCTTTTTGAAGCAACTAAAATTACCTTTGAGTTGTTTACATCCCATCTCGTTATTTGTTACAATTTCCGTCGCTTGATAGCATGTAATATTTCGAGTTCTGTCTGAGGCAGGTCAAGTAGTTGGCTTAGCAATTGACCTGTATCCGTGTGACACCTAGCAGAAATGATATTCTCTATCAGTTTTATTTGTCCTTTTATCATACTTTATAAATCACTCTCTTCACTTCTTTTTCAACGATTATGAGCTGATGAAGATTCGTCACTCCAACATCATGTTACGCCAAGATAGCATATAGTACTGAGCTCTTTTCATCGAGACACTTACAGAAAGCATTTTTTCAAGTTCAATTACCAAACACATACATAGCAATGTCAACTGAAGAAGTGCCCTTTTTATCATATAACATTGCTGTTTCGTTTTACAAAATGTATTAGAAGAAATCTATTATACTGGTTATGTTTCAAAAAATGATACCGGCTGTTGAAATCTGTTGAAATCTCATAATGCTATTTGGTGTAAATAAGCATAACACTCATAAGTTTACAGACAACTTAAGTTGAGTTTGTTTCAGTATTTTAATTATTAGGCAGTAAATATTGTGGTTTTGTATCCTACAGCCACCATCTGGAATGTTAAGTGCGTGCGAAAGCAATGCCAAAATGTTTAGAGTCTGCTGTTACCGAGCTTTTTTTTTATTTTTATTTTTGTATTTCATAATCTCGTCGAGCCGCAATACCTGCGAGTTTAGATAAATGTTCGTCATTCTTTAGGCTGCAACTTTCCAAGGGATCGGTTTCCAGATTGTTGCTGTGATAGCGATTAGAGGACGCTCCAATCGGCAATTCACGCTTCATTGTGTAAGAATACATTAGCAGTGCCCTAATTGCTGCCTGCTGCTTTGAGTCTGAGTGTTGGCACATCCCTGGCAGTTCTCCTCGTGGGTTGCCGCTTAATTCTCAGTTTTTCTCTCTCTAAGTGACAAAGCTTATTCGACATTGCTGACGTGATGACTCCTTTCACGATTTTTGTGCTACCGTCCAAGCCCGAAGCCAATCAGCGCCTCACATGGGCATAGTCGTAGTCACAGCAATGAACGTGCACAGAGTCGATGTGTACCCTCCTACTCATTATTCCCGCTTGCCGATTAACAGAACTGGCTAAAAGAATCTCGCTAGCTCACAGTAATCTGCGAGGGCTGTAAGCCGATAAAACAACGCTGCAGGCAACAGGAAGCAGCAATATAGTGCCTGTTGAGGTGGCTCTAGCCTAAGGACAAGGGATACCAGGATTTTTTTCCGAGGAGAGGGGGGACGATAATTGTGTTTTTCAGGGGGGCAGGGAGGCACAGAACATTTGCGTTGTGGTCTGACTAAGCTTGCTCTTGGGAGGCAAGAGGGGGAGGGGGCAGGTGAGAATTTCGCAAGGACTCCAGCCCACCCGTACTGCCGCGCTGGCAGTATCAAGTGAAATGTATCTGGCGTGCCGCTGCTTTCCACCTGAAGACGCCAGCGTCTGCAGATGTGCAGCACCACTCTGATATGCTTGCCACTATAAGAGTGAGAGGAATGCGGGATATTATGAGGCAAAGCGTGTGAGATTTTGCTCAGCAGATAGCGGCAGTCCGCTGATCATCGCAGTGGCGGTCGTAAATACCATGGTGCATAGGAAAGCTCAGCGAACTCAGACAGCTAGCAGCTTTCTGTGTGCTGCCTTTGTGCGCCTAATGGTGGAACCGCAATACCTCGGAGATGTGAGGGGAGACATGATCGATGCCTGTGCTAGCTTCTGTTTTGCACTCTTAAAGCCATCGTGAAATTCTGCGCTCACCAATTCAGAGGTGAGCATAGTTGTGAGTGCGCAATGGACACTATGATGTTTAAGTTAATTGGCAGGCAAATATTCACCGCTGTGAATCAAACTAATAAATTTGTAAGGCTTACTTTGGTGAATTGTTTAATGCATTGCTATATATAGCTTTCCATGCTTCGCCTTTTGAGTGATATATGAACTTTTTGTTTCACTGCATCAAATAACGAAAACAAAATTATGAGCGACAATACTGAATACATTTCTCTGCAGTAGTTCTGCATGCAGAGAGAAGCATTATGCATTGCAAGTATAGATGCTATGGGCAATTACTACACTAGGGCAGGCTATATATGAGTGCTTTGCAAAACTGTACAAAGAAATGCCGGGGGGAAAAACAGGACAAATATTAGCATGTAATCTTTTACCTTCGCTACATTGTGGAAACACAAAATATAGCTCTTTTTGTCAGGGGGGACATTGTTCTAAAACCGCAGCGTACATCAAAGTTGTATAAAATAGAGTCGGTGAAGAAGTGGCCAATCTGCATTGAAATTTACCCTACTTCAACTGTATGATATGGGAAAGAGTGATAAAAAACCCATACTAGAGAACCAGCACTGCACCGTGCTCCCTACCGGACTTCAAAAATAAGGCACCTTTTCCTCTTCTACCACCACCACCAGGTTGGCCTTGACACAAAGGGGCGTTACGAACAAAGTATTTAGCGTGAGGATACCGTCGTCGACAAAGGTACTTAGTGGAGAGGGAATCACCACCAGGCATTCAGTTTTGAAAAATGAAATGCAGAACTGCAGAGCCTTAGTTGATGCCCACTGCAGGTGAAAGAGGTTGAGCTTTACAAAGAGACCAAACGAACAAATTATGGGATTTGCAAGCAATGCATTCAAGGAGTTGACAGAGACAGCCCATGAGAAGGTCCAGCTGAGAAGCCTACTCGCGAGTAACGTTTATCGGCACCAATTCAAAGATGTGTTTGTGTGACATTAGTGCAACAAGCTTATGTATAAGAGCGACCTCATAATATAACACTTCAGCTCTAAGATCTCGATTGAATCTGTTGGCGTATTCATAAGCAGAATGCTCTCTGTAAACTCTTCCCTTTAAATTTAACCTTTCTTTTTTTATGCAATGATGGCGAAACACATACTAAAATTGTCTCTGAAACCTTGGGAGGTGAGGGCATTAAAGTCTGGATGAATAGGAATCCGCAAATTCGCTGATGATAGTTTTCAATACACACAAAACAGCGTGGATAGTCTATCTCATGTAGTAAATAAAATATTGTCGCTGCCCAAAAAAGTGGCACGCACTTGAGAGTGCTTGACAGTTTTAATCCCACTTATGAGAGCTTCAGCTACCGAAGGTGTTAAACGTGCACGCAGTTTGATGCTTCGTGGTCTGCCTGAATTATCAAAGTCTGTGGCGTGAGTGGGCGCTGGGCTCGAGCAGAGGGGACGAGACGAGGCACCAAAGTGTCCGTCACGGCTCCATCGTGTATAGCGAAGCGAGCGGGTGGTGTCCTAGCGCGCTTTCGCGCCACACTTCTTGCAATAAATGATTAGGTCGCCAGTACCCGTATCATCAAAACTTCGCTCTTGTATTGATAATTCACCAATCCATCTCGCCATTTGCTAGCTGTCAGAAATACCTGAAGCGAGCGAACAGTTGGCCAGTTGGAAAACGCCCATGCAAGATGTTGTTTTGTGAGTACGGGTGCGAGACCATTTAAAAGCTAAGCGCCAGCGCGATATCACACTGGTACGCCGATAATTGTTGCACGTTTCGGTGCGGGATTCTGTCCGTGACCACGCAGACCTGCGACGCGACGGCTGAGCCGGCCGGCGGCGCGGCAAGTGACAGCAGCAAGGGCAGCCCCGCAGCGCGTTCGGAGAATGCCCTGGATGCGCTGCTGGATGAGCTGCAGACCTTCTCGAAGCCGGCAGACAAACGTGGCGGACGGCCGCTATCGGCAGACTCACCCGTGAGGGCCTCTTCTTCTTCTGCGTCTGTGGGAAGTGCCAAACCACCCTCCGGCGCCACGGTAGTCATCATCGACGGTCCAGGCAGCGGCGGGGTTAACAAGAAGACGCCGCCGCCACCTCCACCGCGCACCACGAGCAAGTCACCAGTGACATCGCCCACGGGCCCACAGCGGAGCCGCTCGGAGCCGGTGCGCACGAACGCGCTGGCCGCGGAGGACGCGAGCAGCAGCAGCAGCGGCAGCAGCGGTGGCCGGCGAGACCAGCTCTCTTCCAACAGCAGCAGCAGTGAGAGCGTCAACTCGCAGGAAGGCCTACAGGCACGCAGCCGACAGGAGCTGCTCGACTCGCGACATCAGGTCGGTCAACGTGCACTCAGCCGTGTAAAACTCGGGAAGCGGGAAGGAAAAATAAGTGCAAAATATATGCACGTAGCTACTCAAGCATTACCATGGTCACAGCTGATGGTCTCGCGAAAACGATGCCTCAATATCATTTGTCAGGCTCTGCGTTTTTGAGGTGAGACTTGATGTTAGGTAGCATTCATTACACAATTGCTGTATATTGCAGATGTATTGGTCAATGGTACATCAGAAGACCTAAAAGACCATAATGCATCATACCATAATATATTTTAAATAGTTCTAACCACCAAGAATATCAAAAAGTAAACTTTCTTTTATATTATGAAAAACACTATCTACTCATGATAGAGCCTTCCCAACACTTTGAACAGCATCTGCCATCGAAGTTGCTTCATCCTCGCTCATGAGTGGGGAAGATGGAAATCACCACTGTATGGCATTGTGGCACCTTTCCTCGCCTTTTCTTTCCTTTTTTCACATAATAAAATACTTTACTGTGCTTCGTTTGCTTCATAGTCTGGAGTAGACTTGATTGCAAAAATAGGGGACACAAGAAGACAAGACTACTTAACGGCAGTAGTACACGCTCGTCACGTTCATTCGTCTTGCCTTCTTGTGCACCGCCTGCATGCGCACTGCCAGTGGCTCTTGATCTTAACCACTCAACCAGTTACAAAAACGTCTGTATGTACTGGGATTTGCTGGTTGTTTTCACGCTTATGCTATCATGTGGAACGTAGAGGCATGAGATATGTGACCTTCTGTGTAAAGAAGGTGGACTGCACCAAGTTGAACTCTCACAGCACCCACCTGGATTTATTCGAGAGATGAGAACTACCACCTATCTGGTACTTGGTTGCTGTGGATACTTACTTGTCTGGATGAGGTGGCCTGCATTTTCACTTTCCTCAATCTTTCACTCTCTTTTGATGCTGCTGCACGCTCTCATATAAGTTGCTGAAATAACCATTTATGCTTACGCAAAACCATTATCGCATGCATGACATCCATAGCTGTCCTGGAAACAGTGCAGAGACACTGTTCTAAATCGACAGTTACCTTCACTCAGTACACTCGTACTTGGCAGAAACACTTGAGTACTTTGGATTCAAGTCACTTATATCCATGTTATGACTCAACAAGCAAAGTATGAGGTTTTATTTTATAGCTACATTTATAAAAAGATCAATTCAAGCATGGGGCATGGTTCTTCGTTAACCTTAATTACTAATATTCCACTGTTAGGAGATACCATGAGCTTTTCGTATGGATATTATCAACAAAATTTAACCACATCCCATTCCACTTTTACCAACTTGTTTTTGTCAGTAGCATTAAAAAGTTTTGCCCATAATGCTTAGGTGATTGTAGATAATACTGTAATGCAGGTGGGCTGGAATGGTAATTGTGTTATGTAAGCAAAGAAGGTTTTCAGCTGCCCTCTGTAATATAATCATACTCATATATTATTTTATTTCGATCAATAAAACAGTGTTGTGTGTAGTAAATGTGTAATAATTGCCTAAGAGAATGAAAAACAAAGCAATGACTTCACGGACAAGTGTCTGATGTCAAGCACCTTGTGTTGCAGGAGCTGCTACGGAAACAGCGCCAGCTGCAAGAGCAGTACGCCCGGCTGCAGCTCCTCCAGCGCTTGTCGCCACCCAAGCCGGACCTGAAGAAGACCGGCAGCGAGAGCAACATCCTGCACAAAGCATCCCTCTCGCTGGGCAGCGCTGGCGGTGCGTCCGGTTCGCTCACCCACCTGGCGGTGCCGTCGTCCGCCCTGCGCACGGGTGCCAAGATCTACGAGACAGACATACTGTAGCCACGTGGCATTCGGCTTGGCCCTCATTTGTGACGTGAGTGCCCACCATCTTGGAGGGCTCCCAGCACACACTTGTCCCGGAGGTCTGTCTCCACTGATGTCTGGCGAAACGCCCAGGGCCGCAGGTCGTGCGCATGAGGAGGAACAACAGTGCGCGAAATAAATACAGAGCACGCAAGAGCATCGATAGTATCAAAATTGATTTAAGGTTTCGCCCAGTTTGTACTTTGAATACAGCACTGAGTCAAGATATCAGCTGATAGCTTAATGCTTTGGAAAGCTAACGGTTACCCTCTGGTGGTAATTTTCAGCTGTTGGAAGTGCTCTCCAAAGAACAGATGCATTTGGCAAACAGGTAACCATTCCCGTTTTTTTTTAGCAATTGGAGTGGACTTTTTCAAAAGGCCTCCATTTCGAAGTCTTTTACAAGCCTGGAGCGTGTTGAGAGAAAAAAGATGAGCTGTCTGGTATCAGTGTTTTTTGCTCTTACAATAGGGTACGCTGCGTCCTGAGCTGGAAGCCTAATGCTAAGAAAGCAAAAGGAAAACATGTGGCTCCTTGGCGTTTATTTCCTCCCATGCACTACACGCACCTGTGGCCTGTGCGAAGTGCAATCGAAATACTCGGCTCAGCTATTTGGGCAGGGAGCCTTGCATTGCAAAAGGGCATGCGCAATGTGCCAGTCTGTTTGTACTGGGAGGTGGTTCCTCGCAGTAGAAGTATAGAAATTCGCATTACGTGTTGTGCTGAAAAGCACGTGTCAGGGCTCTTACCCGGTGAAAAAATGGACAATGTGCAATGTGCTAGTAGGAACGGAGTAGAAGGTGGAACGGGCCTAACATTAGGAAATACCACGGGAACGCGGACTATGGCTTCTATTCGGGAGTGTTCGCCGTGCCTCTTCGAGGACAGTGATTGGCCAACTTAGTGACGCGAGACAGTCCCGTTTCGCGAAATGTGCTGCAGCCACAAGGCCAAAAGCTGTCAGCGATGAGGCAGCCAAGTCCACACATCACGCATAACAGCCTCGGCAAGTTCCTCTTTATTTATTTAGTATTTTCACGAGTGTGGTCTTTATAATTGTAGGTCTAAAAACCTCCTTCGTCGTAATGTATCCATTTTTCACCCAGCCTACAAATGCTGTGCGTTCACTTGTCAGGGTGAGTACTTTCTACCGCTCTATATTACTATCTGGCGGAGAAAAAGGGTGCGCCGTGTGTTGGAAAAATACCGAGGCTTCCATGATGGCGCTGTGTGCAGAGTACAGGTATAGAGGAACCCTCATTGCTGTTTGACACTTATACTCTGTCGAAGATGCGCTGCTCTCTGAGCAGCCCTCAGTGAACGCCATGCACGAGCTGTCTGAAGACAGATTGCTTAAAGTGAGAAAAAAAAAATGAAAGCGAATGTACTTTATCATGCATAATCACTGTTAGTTGCTATAGTGCTCACTCTTCTGATAAAAAAAAATGTTCTGTACACTTTTTTATTCATGAACGGTCTTTGGCAGGTGAACATGTCTGTTATGGTGCCGGGCAGGTCGTATTCTCGCCCTGATGTATTCGCTAAAGACAAAGTTTGGCAGCGGTCTGAGATGTCAAAAGTCGCATATCGTTCACCACCTATTATACAAGTCTGTATTTTTTTGTTATCCACACTGTAAATTTTGTCCAAAAACCTTAACCCAACTCGTTGCTTGGTGTTTTCATGCTTCTATTTTCTTCTTTGGAAATTCGCATTACTTCCGCAAACGACGGTGCTGGCATTGGCACGGCTTTTGGCAGTTTATCTTGTACAAACCAGATGATACTTGGAGTTCATTGATGAGTACATCAAGTTGGTAGTTTGTCACCGCCATTGGTTCACCTTTAGTTTATATGGACTTCATGTGGAGAGGTTCGTGCGAGGAACGTGATCACTTTACGGTTAAATTTCTATTGTTTTTTTACTTTTGAAGCTCTGAAAAGGTTTCATTTGTTACTCTGTAACAAAACTCCTAATACACTGTATTGTAACATGCACATGGTTTGTATACACCATACTGTTCGATGAGTTCGAGGCATTAGTGAACGATGTGTTGAGCTGAAAAACAACAGAATGTGAATTTCAAGATGCTTCTGTTTTCAAGCTCCATGATCTTTCTTTTTTATTTTTGACGCACAACTGCAAATCATTTAGGAACAAAAATCACTGTTCAGCACCACTTGTTGCTATATGCACTATTGTGATTAAAACGTGAACTATTTGGCAACTACCTGTTCTTCTATTCTGCATTTCTTGTCAGGCTGTCACAGCCTGGATGGCAACAACGAGCCAATGAAGCCATCCATGATGCAATCAAAAACCGTTCTAGCATCTTTTTATTGCCATTGAAGTTAGAGTGCGATGAAAACAGCTCACCATGCTGTTAGCATTTCTTTAAATCCTCCCCAGTACATAAATTTACCTGCTCTAAGCCAAACCTGTCAGATGTTTTGTTTAATTAATTCAAAGAGAAGTGTGCATTTTCGGTTTCCGGCTGTGAATTGGTGAAATATCAGTTTGTAATTTAACTAAAAATATTCACTGGAAGCGCATGTACCGCCAGATGTGGCGTAGTGCGGTCATTTACAATTCCTTGGCAGTAATGAAGCATTTGCATTGGCGTCTAAAAAAAAAAGCAGAATCAGCATGCCTGAGTCGTTGACGCATTTCAACAGCTCTGATGCACTCTGTTTAAGACACATCTTGGAAACACCAGGCAAAATTTAGGATATATACACACGTAACAGTCCTTGCTCGGTTCGCACCCCAATGCCAATAACTGTTACCAATGCTGAATTGAGTGTTGCCTGTCATACTTCAGTGTACTGCAAATACCCATTGCAGAAACAATACTTCAATGTAAAAATTTGTACATCAAATACTTTTAATGATGAACGGGTAAAATGTTAACGTTGTTTGCTAATAAGCTATATTCCACGAACATAGTGTTCGCTAGGGTAAGCTGGTAAGCCTATTTATACGGAGCCCTACATTGTGAATGATTGGTTGCTGCAAGGCAAATGGTTTTAAGTTAAATAACCAACATTCACACACCTTTTCGCACAATAATTGCTCTCAAAACGGAGTGAACGTGTGCATAGTTCGGAAACACTATTATCACTAAAATTATTGTGTAACGCTGTGTTTACTCCATCTCTATCTCAAGCAACTCTCTGCGGTGTGCTACCATTACGTATACCACTCCCTAGATTGATTTCTCTGGCTTGCGTAGCGTTTCTTGGTAGTTTGCGTGCCATAAAAGTTGTGCGTGCGTAATGCACTCTGCATGTGCGAAAGAAATACCTACACAGCAGACCCATCTGCACCAACTCGTGTTTCCACAAGTACCTGCCTACCGTCCCCCACCTGGATACAGTCTGCTTGAATGTGGATAGGCTCCTAAAGCCTTAGCTCCTCCGCAGGTTAATAGTTGTTCTGAAAATTTTCTTCTTAATCTATAACAAGTGTTGTTACAAGCTTATGTTACTGACAGGTCAGTGGCAGAATCTACTGTTTGGTGCATTGTGGAGCCGTGCGACAACAATTGTCTTGTCGCAAAGCGTATTACTAGAAATGTCTGTTGGCTACTTTGGCAGTTTCGCTTACCGCTGATTTTTAAGGAAGACCAAATGACCGATCAAATATGCATGGTTGGTGGGTGATACTCATAAGCTGTCCTCAGTGTGCGTGTGGTGCCATTTAGGACTCAGTACGTAATGGTTATGGTCTTACGGACATTGCCGCCAAGACCAGTGGGTACACAAATTTCCACGTTTTCACATTAAGCTGGTTGTTACTGACAAGTTCTTCACTGCTTCTACTGCCATTTACCGCACGGTAACTGGTGTAAAATTTCACAGGTGGAAGTGCTTGCTGTTATAAGAGAGAACAGCTCGTTGTGAAGCTTTCTACGTCTCACAACTAGTCAGAAGACTAAAATATAAAAATATTGAAAATGCTTAGCACCAGCGTGTGCTTCACCTGCGCCTCTTTTTATGTGTATGATGAATCACACCGCATTAGTACCCAAAAAAGTTGTTTTCGATATTATTCTGGAATCAAGGGTAAAGAAGATGTGTATATGACTGCGAAAGGGATGAGCACATTTTGCTTTTTAAGGTAAATGTGCTCTACACTTTTGCCTTGCTCTACACTTTTGCCTTGCTCTAATTATGTCTTTTTAATGATGAAATCGTCTCTGCTTTCACAGCAACAGCACTTCTTCTCGTAGCCACAGAGCTGTTTATATGCCCGGAAAACGAGATTGAAAAAGAAAAATCCCAAGCTAATTGTGCATATTGCTGTGCAGAAACTTGTTTTTTTTTTTTCTCTTTTTATGCGCGAAATGTATTCAGTCAGCCTTTCGTGCTATATGAATGTATGAATGTGCTGTTTGCATCTTTTAAATGACGATGGCGAACAGTTGAGGCACTTTGAACGCATATATGCACCCTTGCTGATCTGCTAAGCCTAGACTGTGTTTCCATGCTGTATTTATTAACTGTTTGCATTCATTTTTACAAGGGTATAGTGAATGAAGCTTTACCTTGCCATTTCATTCACTTATGCTTTTAGCACCTCTTAATTTTTCAAAGTACTTGTGTGTTGACATGTATAGTGCGATGTGCTAAGCACTTTCTTCAGTATACTGCACACCTCCTGCTTAAGGAGTGACCATTGTCAAATTTTTTACTTTACACTGCACACGACTCTGGTTTATGCAGCAGCTTTCAAACAAAAATGCCTTGACCCTTTCTCATCACTTCATAAGCCTTTGTTTTCACCTCAAGTTGTTGTTTTCTATATAATAAATATGGCATGGTCAGTGGAGTTCCTTTGTTATATCGCCGAACCCTTTGGCATCCAGGGTTTCCGGACAATCTCAAGCAATAAGTTATGAAACTAGTTTATTTAGCCAGTTGATGGTGGGAGCAATGCTCAAAGTGTTTTTTGGCGCACCTTTCTTTTTTAACGGTCTGCAAGGTGCATACTTCATGCGGTATCATGCATAATAATCACATTGGTACACTGTGAGGTACTGAATCAAAGAAATCGAACTGGCTTCAAAGCTTCTCATTTAGGAAAATAAATAAATGTATTTCGATATAAGCACACTAGTTGACAGAAGGGTACCTGCGCATGGGGGATGAAACGAAAATTTCTCTTTGGCAAAACATGCGAAGCGTCAATTTCAGTTATCAGTGTTTACTTAGTTTGCATTAAATTGGGCGACATACACTTTGTACTCGTACAACTTACCTTTATTTTTGTGTCAAATATTTTTGTCGCTTAGTAGGTGTAGCCACTTTTTGACCAAGCTGTGGTGGCGACAAGATTGTAGTATTATGTGCATGTTTACCATTATGCTGACTGTAAGCACTTGTAACCATGTGAAAAACCTTGACAAACAGATGCTAATGTTTGCATACTTAAGGCTGTGTGTACATACACGTGTGCTTTTATCATTTTATTCTTGCATGTAACTTGGTGCGTTTTGAGAACATCTACTCCCCTTGAGGAATAGGCCTGCACTGAAGGGTTATTTTCAGATGAAATGCAATGAAAGAAGATTCATTCGTATGGCCTTTGCTGGTGACATTTCTATTATCTTACTTGTCTCAGGTGCTCTTTGACTTGTTATAGTCGCAACTGTATTCAGTATACAGCGTGGACTCATGTTTTCTTTGATATTGATTGATTATTTACTGGCAGGATTAGAATTGTAATATAAGTATGTTGTGAATTCTGTCGAAAATAAAAAGTTGTGTCTTGCTCAGTCTCTTACTTGAATTGTGAGCATGATACACGGTGCCTCTTTCTGGTTCAGTGAATGTTCCTAAGTGGCTCAGACACCCTCGCTGCGAAGATTTCACCCTTCCACAGGTGCGCTACAACTCTTCAATGATAAACCTGTGCACCTTGATATTATGAGTGGGTACTACGGTCACTAATCCACTTTGGGAGGGGCACGTGTGAAATCACTCAACAAAGTTTTGTCCCTGAACGATGAAAAGTAAGGTAGTTGCTAGGGATATATCTTTAAATGCAGTAGGCATGCAGACACACCCTTAAGACAGGGAATGAAATGCTCTTTGTTTTGTATTGTCATATCATCATACATATGCCTGCCTTTTGTCATGATGGACATATTGTTTAATTTAATAAAACCACAGTGCTGTTGCATCCTATATTTCATTCCTACAATCGTTCATGAGTATAGGCAAAGACTCCTACTAAAGATGCTGGATCGCATAGAGCGTTCATTCTCTTATGACCCTCAGATTGCAACCTTAGATAAGAGCATGCGAAAGGTGTTAAGGACATGATTAAATAATGCAATTTTAAGGTGGCTGCTGCATCAACACATGCTTTCTACTTTTTTTCTTTGCGGAAAATTGACATTAGAGACAAGTTTCGGTGACAGGCAGGAAGCAGTTTGTGGGGGCTCTGCCTGTATATTTCAAATAGAGTTACTGTATATGCTATACACGAACTCTAATTTCAAAATGGTAAATCTTACGTCGCAGATATTGCATATACCTTCTATATAGTACATAACGAGTTTCTTAATCTACAAGTGTACTCTTAAAAATCACCTCTGACTGATTCGTGTGGGTGTCGGTGCTATGGGGTATTCGCAAAAAAGCTCACAACATGTTTCCTCGTAATGGTATCATATACCCGCACTGTTCTTTTCGATCAATTCATGCAAACAAGCTCAAGTTTTTACCCTTTTAAATTGCACAAGTTATACTGCTTAGCACGGCTCTACTTAAAATGAATATTGTAACTGCGCGACTGTTACTACGACTCGCACCGCCGCCGACACTGTTGCGTAGTGCGCCGAGGTCACGGGCTGCCAATGTCACCAGCTGTTTGGTAACGTGTGTTTCTCGGCTCGCGACTGCTTCTGGGCAAAGCTGATAGACGAGCAGACAAGACGACTGTGAGTTAAGGCAAGATTTATACACAGCGTAAAAATAGAGGCGTTACATATTCGGCACTGGGGCCGACAGCCTCTCTGACGCATACGTCAGCTGCTTGTCGACGCACCGCTTGGCTTTTTTTATAGGCCCCTGGTTGTGCCTAATGTCACCAATGTCCAATCGGAACCACTGCTGGTGGCAGCAGCTTCCTCAAATCTGGACCCGCCGCTGGGTGGCATCATGATCCTCCAATTCGGAGCCGCTGCGCTGGGTAACACCCAAGGGCGAGTGATATGTTGCTACGCATTGCGTATTGACTAGCCAAACTGGATGGCGCCGATTGCTTCATTGGGCTGCTATCAGGACCCGTGGGCTGAGGGAGCTCGCCGTGCATTGCATAAGACAGACTGGCGCTGCCGCTTGATGAAGCCGTTGAGTTGGTGGCATTAGGCGGCTCGCTCGCTGGCCTTGACACAGATTGCCTTTGCAGAGGCAATGACGTTCTGTCTGGACACTCAGGCGTAACAGTATCCCCGCTGCCAGACAATGCGCCGGAACGACGAGCTACTTACGTGGCTCGAATGTCTGGCGCGCTAGTTCGCCAGGTCTCTCCAGGTTCGCCTCCAGGGCCAGGTCCGTGAACACATCTCATTCTTGAGGACGGATCCCAGTTCTACTGGCCTGCCACCAAAACTTGTCGACTAGCTTCGCTCGTCTCTTCTGACAATTTTTGGTCTCAGTACTTGTCGATGGTTCTGCAACTTGTCAAGAGCGGTTCGACAGCAGACAACACACGACACAAGCGAGTGCCCTCGGTTACCCGACAGAACACTAGACAAAATGTAGTACAACATATACCTAGCTATACGTGTCTATCGGAATTTCGTTCCCTTTACATCAAGAGACTCTTTAAGTGAGAACTCAAACTTCTACGCGTACAACAACGTAATGGAATAGAATATAACATAAAGTTGGCCCCTTGAGATCCCTCTTGACGAGAGCGCTCGGCTAAGGCCATGATGAGGACAAAATTTTGCCCCGACTCGCCAGAAAAAACCAAAAGGTGGAGAAGGTAATAACTAAAACCCACGGCTCCATGCGTCTGCCTTAGAGTTTAGCTTTCTTTTTTTAACGAATGTCTAAGTTGTGCTGTTGGAGTATCATGCTCCACCTCAGTAACTGGCCACTTTTAGGCGACATGTTATTTAACCAGGTTAGAGGACAGTGGTTCGTTTCGAACCACAAACCTCGAACAGGAGACATAAGAGGCTAGTTTTTGAACGGCCCACACAATAAATCAATCAATGAGTTTTATTGTGCATTATACATATAATGGCTGGTTAATATTATACAGGTAGGACCCCAAGGCCCAGTCAAGGCAGTTGCAGGGGTCCGTTTTTTAACAGTAGTAGGTACTGCTGAGCCACCAACAGATGGTAAGGGACAGAATACAATAAATACATATAATTTATACATAGCAATACAAAAATACATATAACTACAAATAAATCTGAATAATATTCTTAATTCATGTATTACTGTTGTGAGTTTTGCAGGTGATCCCGAACACATTGTTTATACAAATGAAATGATGTGGATGCTTCGATGGTACAAGGTAAAGTGTTCCAGAGTTTTTATGCAATATAAGAAAATGAATGTGGATGCGTAGTTAGTCCTTATGTGAGGTATGCATAACGGTATACTTAAAGTAGAACGTAAGGAATATGTGGGCGTTTGATATGTTAATGCTATAGACGGGCATTGAACAGTGTTATGCAAAAGTTTGTAGACAAGTAGTAAAATACGGTAATTGACACAAACTGTGATGGGTTGTATGTTTAGTAGTCTATAAGCATAGGAAGCTGAGTCTGTTTTTGATATGGAGAGAAGGGCACGCACAGCCGTGTTCTGTGCTACTTTGAGGGGTTTCAGCAGCGTTGTAAGGTAGGTCAACCCATAAATTACTATGGCATATGTGAAGTGTGAATGTATGAAAGAATGATATAATGTTAACATTATCTTTATTGGGAAAATGTAGCGTATCCTGTAAAAACTAGGTATTTTTCTGTATATCTTCAGTGTTGTCTCGTGTAGTGTGTGTGCCATGAAAGTTGTGCGTCCAAATATACACGAGAAATTTTGTATTACTAACCCTTTCTAGTAATGTCTTATTCATTTCAAGCTGATTACTTAATGTAAAGGGGGTGTTTTCGGGGCAAGCACATTCCTCATCAGAGGTACTGTGTGCCTCTTCCCTGCAGCTCAGCTTTCGACTTAAATACAAAACTGGCCTTTCGGTACAAGCGCTGTCTTCCTGGCTCAATATAGCTCCCATGCTGCGATCACTCGCGTCGCATTGAATGACAAAATCCAAATCGGGTGCCATGAAAACGGGCTTTTCGCTTAGGGCCTGTTTCGGCTTGCAAAACGCCTTTTCTTTTTCAGAGTCTCATACCACTTTAATCGGCTCGGGCTTTCGAAGTACGCCAGTTAGAGGGCTGGCACTGCTACAGTAGTTTTGCTCGTAATGCTCATAGTATCCAGCTAGGCCCAAGAATGTCCTTATTTCAGATTTTGTGGCTCGTCGTGGATAGTTAACGACGGTGGCTACCTTAATTGTTGACGGGTCTACGCCGGCCACGCCCCACAACGTGTCCCAGGTAAGACACCTCGCCGCACACTAGGTGACGTTTAGGAGGTTTCGCGGTAAGACCAACTTCTTTCAACCAGTTCAGCACGACTCGTAAATGCTCGACATGTTCTTCCCAGCTGTTTGAGAAGATGGCGACATCGTCAAAATATGGCAGAGCGAACTCAGAGAGGCAATGAAGAACGTGGTCCATTAAGCCTGAAAAACAAAAAAAGCGCATTTTTCAATCCAAAGCTCAGCTTAAGGGGACGATACGTTCCGAATGGAGAAACGAATGCGGCATAGCGGCTATCGCCTCCGTAAGGGGGACTTGCCAACACCCTCTCACGAGGTCTAATGGGGAAATACAACTATAGATTGTGACACAGCTTCTGCCCTCTCCTCTAGATTAAGTATCGGGTTAGTTTGGTCTCGAGTTATGGCGTTAAGACGCCGATAATCGATGCATGGCCTCAGATTTTTTCCTCGGCATTTGAATCAATAATAGAGGGGATGTATAGTCACTCTCGCCTCGTAATATGACTCCTAGCTCCAGCATTTATCAATCTTCTCTTTCATGATCTGCTTTTGCGCAGGGGAACATCGATATGGCTTGCTACGGATTGGCTCCTCAGAAGTTAGCTCGATATCGTGTTCAATCACCGTCGTGTTTTCGGGATGGTCCGAAAACACGTCTTTAAACTCGGAAACAATCCTCTTCAAGTCCTCCTTCGGGACTTCACTTAGGCTACGCTCCAGGTTCAATTGCTCCAATATTACATCGAATCTCCTTTATATCACATCACTAAAAGTCAAAATTTTTGCTCATTCTTTCTCTGAAGCATTCAAAAGCAGATTTACGACCGCTTGACGTTGAACGTGTGGTTTCATCAAGTTGCTGTGGTAAATTTTGTTCCGCCACCTCCCTAATTTCACTTCATATTTGGTATCAGAAAGCTTTGATAATACTTTGGCGGGCCCTTACCAATAAACCTCAAGCTTGTTCTTTTTGGACGGCCGCAGCAACATTACCTGACTACCCACTTCAAAAGTACGTTTCTTCACCGATCGTAGTTCTCTTTCGACAACACTTGTGCAGCCTTCATGTGGCTTTTCACAAGATCTTTCGTTTTTCCAAGCTTCTGCAGGAGTTTTAGAACATATGCAACTACATTAGGGTCCTTATCGAATCCCTCCCAGGACTCGCGTAGCATCCGTAAT